GTAATCCCATAGTGCATACATCTTGTCCAATATTGTTTATTTTTCAGCTTTATGTTTTGAACACCCCTACCAACTTATATTTCAACTAGAGTGGAATCCATTTACTTATAAAATGTTTACAGATATAACTTAATCAAGGTTTAATAGACCTTCAAAGAGATTACATAAAACAACTAATTACAGACTATGTTTTATTTTCCATTTCGTTTTCCCTTTGTAGATGCGTTCATGCTTGAAAGTAAGGATTTGTGTCCTCTTTTTGCCTTGGGGGGCTCCAACAGTTCCTTACCCAACATCAGAAAAGCACTCAAAATAAACATTACTCTGGGTAAAACTAAAAAAGGGTATGAGATACTAAAGAACCAAATACAAGTTTTAACATTTTCTTTAGTCGGTGTTTACAAACAGGTCCAACTCTTGCGACATGGTTGAGTCACATCTACCCATTATGGTGGTATGGTATCAGAATAAGGTATTTCAACACATGTAAGCACCAAGCATATGACTTATGGCCAGGTGGTCAATGAAACTGGAACCGCAACGTTTCAGTATACCAGCAGAGGCATAAATACGTAATTTCTTCCAATTGGCTTAAACACATTGGACGGAGCTGCCAAGAGGATACAAGTACCAAGTGGAATAGTCAAGGTAGGCATAAGTTTTGTACACCCCGTAATTTAAAAAGAAAAAAAAAAGCACGAAAGGAGTACATGTCCTCCAGAATCTTTTTTACAATGAAAGTAGATGCTTAATATCCTCCAAAATCCTTTCAACATGCACAACTAGGAAAGAACACACAACTTTGTATAGATTATTGTAGAACGTAGTTGGAATACTCTTCTTTAAATTAGATAATAAGCATCACTCCATGTTCAGAAAAAGAACCACAACATAATGCACACTGCAGCTGAACTATGTATTTTAAGAAAAAAGGTACTAAGCTATGGCCAAAGATTGAACTAACTTATTTAGGATCCTTAAAAATTCTACAAGCATACTTCTTTATTTCTGTCTTTAAACTTTTTGATGAATCAATAACTACATGAATCCACAGATGCTGTACAATATAACCACAAGGTCCAAATGATCTACATGACTTCATCTCTCTCACCTAGATAAGGATTTTAAGCCAAAATTTCCCCATTCCTTGTTGATTTCTTATCCATCAACTTATCTATTTCTTTTTTTTTGAAACTGGTTATCCATCAACTTATCTTTTTTATGACCCACAATGCATTGGAATCAACAGTGAATCAGATTCAAGGACCTAAAAATATTTTAATTTCAAGAAGTTGCAAGAGGTAATGGTGGATGGGAGAGAGAAATGGGAATAGCTTAGAGAGGGGGAAGATGAGGAATGAGAATGGGGATGGATTTGAATTTTTTATGGAGAATAGCTTTTGTAAATATAAATGATGGTCTGGCATATTATCTCATGTGGATAGTGATCAAGGACCACACAGGATGGTCAAAAGGGTTAAAAACACTAATTTTGAACACATTCGCCTATAAATGAAACCCCGTGAAGCTGGGAGCCGGGAACACAATCTAGTGCAATTAGAGGGTGTCTATTTGGCTATTCTGTCTCTTTAAAATAAAAAAAAGGTAGAATTCTCTCCACCTAGAAGCATTAAAATGTAAAAACTTTTCCAAATAGTGTCCATAAGAAAAACAAGACTTAGATACTAAACAGCATAGTTCATAGCCTAACCTTCCAGCAATTCTGGCAGGGCCTAATTTAGCCAATGCTCGTTCCACCTCTTCACTAACCTGTTCAGTTCAAATGGTGAAAATCCAATAAGAAGCCTAAACATCAAGTAACTGAAATCACAAAAGATAATTCTCGCATGTTAGAATATTGGATTTTGTACATATACATGTACATGTCTATATGTAGTTAAATGTGAAGGGTCATTCATCTTCTCACCCTACTAGCATGATCAACTATACAACAACAACAACATATCCGGTGTATTACCACAAGTGGGGTCTACGAGGGTAGAGTGTACACAGACCTTACCTCTATCTCATGAAGATAGAGAGGTTGTTTTTGAAAGACCCTCAGCTCAAGTAACGCATAACAAAGCAATTTGAAAAGGAGAATACAACATTAAATAAGACATAGCAACCAAGTCACAGCAAATAATAGGGAAAGTGTAATATAACATATAACAAAATAATACAACAAGTACAATATCAAATCTAAAGGAAAGAACAAAGTTAGATTTCCCAGTTGAAGAAAGATAACTCTTATCAGAGAAAATATCTACAACTAGTCAAGATAAATTCCCAAGTTCAAATTCCACATAAAAACAAAAAATGCATAGAGACCTGACCTCCAAAACAGACTTGCTTTCACATAGATGATAAACTTAATGTGAAGACATCTTTCCTAGCAGGATCAACCAATTGAAGATTACAAAAGGAATTACTACTCCAACATTAAACATATTTCAGAAGAGAGAGAGGAATGACAGGAAAAAAAAAAATCCTAATGTTATATATCTTACAACTCTCCGAAGAATCGGTTCCAATGACGAGCAGAGCTTTTGAAGACTATCCACCTTGAGAGCTTCCACAATAACACTGCATAAAATATATCATTGATAATCTCGGATTTTTTTAGGAAGAGAAAAAGCATACAGGTAAACTTCTGTAAATGAGAATTTTAGCAATATGAGGGTACACCACAAGTAAGTAACGCCACCAAAGTACGTACTTATTTACAGAGCTCATTGCTCCAACTAAGAGATCATCTCCCATAAAAAGCCTTCCCCAATAAAAGAAGAAGAAACCCAAAATAACAAGAAAACACAGCAGAAAGACAATTGTTAAAATACATGTTGCTTGTTAGTATATTGTTTCCTAGATACTAACCGATACACATTGAGCAAACTGTTAACAAACTTATTACATTACATGACTCAAAACTGACACAAATATCAAACATTCTAACTTTTACTTCAACAGGATTAACCTTTCTTCAATTACAATGATAAATTTCATTTTCTGCATAAAAAATACAAAGTGATAAACTTAGCACAGATTCAAGTTAAATAAATAAACTTTTCAGCTGCCCCAAAACTCACCCTTCATGTACCAACAACAACATACCCAGTGAAATCCCACAAGTGACCAACTTCATGTACCAAAATTAACAAAAAAAAAATCACTCAAATTCAAGAAAAAAAAATTACAAAGCTTTACCTAGCTAAAACAGGTCTTTTACGCTCAGGCTGCTGGTCATCATCATCCTCCAAGCTCCTCTTCATAGATTTTGTCCTCTCCATATACCTAGTCTGCATTTAGACAAATACCTTTTTTCCCCCAAATTCACCACAAATAACAAAACAAACAACAATCAACAAAACAATCCACAACAGATCTTTAAGTTCATTGAAGAAAATTTCCCACAACACCCAAATACACAAAATTCAAGATCCCCACATCAAAACCCTAATCTATTTACACAAAAATATCCACATATATCCATAAAGATCACAACTTTACAAGTGGGGTTTTCAGTAAAAGTCACCTGATTGGTAATTCTTGAAACTTTAGTTGAACCTCTGAAATTTCTCTCTCTCTCTCAAGAACTGAACACTGTATTTATTAGTTTGACAGTTTGTTTTTTTGCCTCTTTTGAGGTGCTGCTGATGGTGGGATAGGTTACTATGCGTGCGTGGGTGAAATATCTGGGGGTGTAGTAAAAGGGTCCCACTTAGAAGACTATTTTAGAGAGAAAAAGAAAGAGAGTTTGATATCTTTTTGGTATTTGCTTTATGTCTTTGATGATGTTGGGTGGCTGCCTTAGCTTTGGATAGAATGGTAAGCAAACCAATTAGCTTGAATGAGTGTACACAAGATCTAGACCATTCATTTTGGGTGATCTCACGTCACCATAATTTTAGGTGGTGTCATCTTTTGTCCTTTTTTGAAAGTTTTATAGTCAAGAGTTTTTATGGGCCTGAATTATCACTTTAATCATAAACTATTGATCATGATATATTTAAGTTTAGTTAGTCAAGTAGAGAAGTATTTTTTGAGTGTCAATAGTTGAGACGTGAATTATTAGTTTAATTTCTAACTATTGATCAGGGTGTATTTTAGTTTAGTTAGTCAAGTAGAAAAATATTTTTAAGACTATCAATGTTCGAGGACAAAATTAATAGCCACGCCAAATTTAGGAGTGTTGTAATACTTTCTATCCTTACATTATTTATATTGAAAGATTATAGTGGGATAAGAAGTTCTACTTTTCCTAATAAGGTTTCTTGTATTTGAACTATGAGGATAATATCACTTTAATAGAGAGCGTGATTTACATTTAAGTAGAATTATTCACTGCTTTTGGAATAAATATGGTATCAAATCTAATTAAATTTGAGACAATTAACCTAACAATACATCATACTATATAGTTTCGTCATAAATTGGAACGTCCTCCTCCAACTAAACGACTTCCATAAATTAGTCGATTTATTTTTTTGGAATGAAATTGTTTGCTTCATTATAAAGATTAATTAAAATTCTAACAAAAGTGCATCCTTGTGAAAGGTACTTTATTGCAGCCTAATGTGCAAAACTTATGTTAGGTAAGGATTAAAGATTCGACACTAAAAATAATAATACATGAGTGATATATAATAAGTATCCAGTAATTACAAATAACTATTTCAATAGTTACCTAACAACCATCACTTCAACAATTAAAAACTTCAAATAAAATGACTTTTGTGAACCATATGCATTAAAAAAATAAGGCTTTCATTTTCACCTATTGCTTTTCTTCGACTCCATGTCTGAGAAATAAGTAAAAAAAATTCAAAATCTTATCTAGATAAATATCATGGATACATTATTAGTAGTACATAATACAAGAGCCGAGGATCTTTTAAAACAGTCTCTCTACCTCCACAAATGTAGAGATAAGGTTTGCATACAGAATGAAAATGCCACCATGATGAAAAGTCCTCAACAAGAAAGAGCAAGATGTACTATGAGAAAAAAAAATCCTATTAATTAGCTGAAATTTCATTCTATTCACATAGCTGAAAGGGGCAACCTAGAACTCAGAGGACTATGAGGAATAACCGAATAATTGCTATAATTTACACAACTAGAATGTTTCGCACAAACTGCACATATATTTCACATAATTGAGCTCCCACTCAACAATTAAGATACACTCATCATTCTCTCCTCCACACCTCATCATCGTGTTGCCTTGACCATGGAGTAAAACAAAATGGTCGATACACAGAATCATCAGCTACTAAATCTCATTATACAGTTAAGATACAATCCCTTCAGTCGCGTCTTGTTTATCTGATACATTTGTTGGGGTGGCTGCAACTGACACATCTAGAAGATCTATCCTTTAGATCGCTGAACAATAGACACTAGATTGTGAGTAACCAATGAAAGCTGCTTAATGGAACTTAAAATCAAACAGAAACAAGGTTCAAATATGAAGTATCATCACTCAATACCAGATTCAGCTTCAGCTAAGATGGACTCATTCTCTTCCAGCAAGTAGTCACAAATCTCTAGAAGCTGATCCGCAAGGGGAGGAATACCTGGGTTGCGCCCATCATTGTACAAATGTGCATTGATAGTGATCTGTGCCACATCATGCCTGAATTGCCCGCGGTTTTTATATTCCAGTTTCCTGGCTTTCTCTTTGATGGTAGATAGGTCCATAGGGCGCTTTACATACTTGTGATAATCTGGAGCTTCCTTTCGGGTCACTGGCTTCAAGAAGAGGTATGATACGTTCACATTGTTCTTCAGTGTATCAACAATTTCTTCTAAAATATTTGACAAACCAACCTTCAAACAAATTCAACCACATCTTAGTTAAATGAAAAGACTACGGCACTACTGCCCCTTGGTACTATAAAAGAAGTAAGCAACTCTTAGAAAGAACAGACCAAATAAGATCAGAGGTTTTCTTGCTAAAATCTTGCAGTTCTACTTCTAACTGCAGCTAATTGACCAATAATGACAGAATTATGCATACAGAGAATGTATCTTGCTTAAGGTGTGACAATCAGACGTATCAGAAAAATCAGACCTGTATGTTATTGTTTGCCTAAATGATTGTGTCAAACAACACTTACTAGAGTAGATTCGATCTATATTCCTATGAGAGTAAGTAGGCCTTTATCTTATTCCCTTTCTATTTCACATACAAGGAGGCATGAGTCTCAGTTTTTTTTTTTAAAAAAAAACAGAAACATCCACCCACCATGATGGTAGCTAGACGAGTATTCTCTTACCCAGTACTATTAATTTCTTATTGGAAAATTCTATGAACACCACCATGCAACCAAATTAGCAAATAAGAACATGAGAGAAAGGTCAGTTAGACCACTTGGACGCAACACAAAATGCAATAAGGATTAGATGATCTAGATCTGTGGCATCTGTGGCCATAGTCATGGACTATCACTATTATTACCTGCAGAAGATGAGACAAAAACAAGCATAATAGATTTAGTTACCTCTCCCCCTCTTCGGCGCTTTGTTGGCGGTGCATGCTCTTTAGCATGCCTTCCGGACTCGAAAGTTTGTCTCCGCTTCACCGATCTGTCTCGATCTGGTATCCTTCTGTCGTTCCTTCTGGGAAGAAAATCATCCAAGTAATCATCTCTCATTTCAGTCTTCTTCTTTTTCTTCTTTTTTTCCTTTAGACGTTCTTCTTCCTCCCTCTCTCTTCTTATGGCGTCTTGATAGCTTTCAATCGCCGCTAATTTCTCCTGTTCTTCTAATGCCTTCTGTCGCTCATATATCTGGGCTCTTTCTTCTCTCTGCCTCACAGCAATTCTCCTCCTCTCCTCCTCTTCCCATAATCGTTTATCATCCATTTTTTTCCTTCCTAAAGTCTCTTCATAGAAGTATTCCCTCTCTTGCTGCCCCAAGTACGACAATTCGTTGATTTTCTTTGTCTTCCTGAACTCCATGCCACTGCTTCCATCCAAGAATCCTTCATCCACACTTGTGGAGTCCTTAAGCTGCTTAATTACAATTTTCTTGCTGCGATGTGAGTCTGCAGTCTCCGTTGGTGGCCTTACCAGAATGGAAGGCTTGTGAGCTTCATTGGAATCATCCTCAGCTCTCATCTTATTTGAAAACTTAATTTTATTAAATTTTATGGGGGGTGGTACAGTTCCAATTTCAGCATCTGAAGTCACTGGTATGTCAGAATTAATTGAGGTCGCAGGAGTAGGTTTATCAGGAAGTTTGTCTGTTGAACCACATTTGACCTTCAGAACTTTGGCCTTTGAACTGGAATTATCATCCTCATGAACTTCGACCATCACATTCTTCGTTCCACTTTTTTGGATGGCTTTCTTTGAGAAGATCTGGGGCTGATCCAAGAGATCAGTAGAACCCATAGATTTTCCTGTAGTCTTTTCCAGATCAATGCTTTCTGCTCGTGCCTCCACATCTTCCCCATACTTGGGACAATTCTTATTAGTTCTCATGTGACCAAGCTGTATGATAAGACCAGTCAATTGATTAGCCTTCATAACTTTTTTGGAAAGAATATGATGATTATTCAAATATAACCACAAACCTGACCACAGGCTCCACAGACAAAACTGTCTCTTGCTGACTTCTTCTCTTTCATGGGCTGTGTCCAAGGAGGAGTATCACATCAGTCACGCATATTACAAGAACCAAGAAACACTAGGAAAGGATATATTCTAATTCAAAATATGCAGCTAAATGCTGTAGATAACTATGTAGGGACATTTACCTTTATTCCCTCCCCTAGTATTTTAACTTTCTTATTAAACAATCCAGAGTCCAGAACATCAAACTTTTTCTTGGGTTTCACCTTGCTAGATGGGGTTCTTTTAGCAGTAAACCCTTCAGCCTGCAGCTAAAAAGAAAATCAGAGAATTGTGTCACCTGGTTGGCATATAAATTACATGCCTACAATGTCCTATTTTTATTAGTGGGGCACAATAGAATTACTGAGGAAGAAAGGGAAACAACCTCCTTCTGATCTCCAATGAAATCCAACCCATTTAGCCCATCAAACTTTATGCTTGGCTTGGCAAATATCTGAGGTTTTTTACCCCGATCAGTGCTTTCAGTACTAAACCTGTATCTTATATCTGGCACGAAACCAACTTGTTCGCCCATGGCTTTGTCCTTTTTTTTCTTCTTCCGATCAGCTTCATCATCTGCAAGATAGTAGTTAAATACAAACAATACCAAATAAGAAACATATTTTAAAATAGGCTGCACTTGCTGGCAGGCAACACATAAAATGGTTTCTACCATGAAGAAAGATGTTATGTGTAAGATTATTCTATTGAAGAAGAGGGTTACAATCCACCTTAAAGGAAACTTCTTGTCTTATACCTATAAAAGGGAGTAGGCAGCTTTCTTATGTGCACTTTGGATCAATTTATATATCAACCTCTATTTGGTCATATTTCCTACAATCTTCTTAACCAAAGCTAATTCTGAGTTGGTGAGAGTTTCAAGGATAAGATGCAACTTAACAACTTGTCAAGACTTCTATAAAATTTTAAACAGTACTCAACTCTAGGCCAGGAGTAACATTGATGCTTCATTTGTGAACTTCACGTGAAAAAGGATTTTAGTATTGACTGTTAAGAAGTCCCACATCGATAAAGGGATGGAAATTTGGTCTCCTTATATGGACTTGGACAAACCTCCCCTCATGAGCTAGCTTTTGGGGTTGAGTTAGACCCAGGTGCCATATCTTTACATGGTATCAGAGCCAGGCCCATCCCAGTTTGTTGTTCACCGATGTTGGGCCCCCAATTATAAGTGTTCACGCTCCAACCGAGGTCTGGACGTGCGGCGGAGTGTTAAGAAGTCCCACATCGGTAGAGGGATGAGAATTTGGTCTCCTTATATGGACTTGGACAAACCTCCCCTCATGAGCTAGCTTTTGGGGTTGAGTTAGGCCCAGGTGTCATATCTTTACATTGACCATGCTGATACATATCAACAAAGAACCCAATTCTTGACAATACAAATTCCCATCTCACAGGCATGAAGATACAGCATACTCCACCATCTTTACCCCTACCCAACCAGTAGCAGCATAAGGACCCACCTAATATGATTTTTCTCTCCAAAATTCTCCAACTAAATCTCCATTTTCCAGGAGAAATAGAAAGTAACATTGAAGTGGCACCAACAGAGAAGGTACACCAAATTCTTAAATTTTCTCAATCTTGCAAATTATAGCATCAAGATAACAAGGATGGACTAGAAACAACATATAATAAATATATACACATATATATACATGTTCTATACCATCCATGAGCATGCGGCATAATTCTGCAGCTTCAGCTGCCTCATCCTCGATCTCCTCTTCCACCTGAGCCTGAAAGGGGCGTCTTCTCATCTTGAGTCCTTTGACTCCATCAACATTATCATGTTTGGGCTCATGACTACCCTCCTCACCATCCTCGAAGTCCTCTGCGTCAAGAAGATTTTCCAAGTCACCAGCAAATGAGTCCAGGTCACTGTTCACTTCAGAGTCACTCTCATTTTCTTCCCCATCAACTGCACTAAGATTTTGGACTTGTCGGTCCCAGATTTCCTGACATTTTTCTCTTGTTTGCTGCTGCAGCTGCAAAAAGGACATGCGCTGGCCACGAGCATATTTGCTTATAGTTGTTGGATCAACTTTCACACCGGATGCAGCTTGCTCGCTAGAAAGCTTGCGAATCATAGCAATTCGGTGCCACCTTGTTAGTTTAGCAATCTGCTCCTCTGGAACATTAAACTTGAGAAGAACCTAAAATGTAGGGAAATACACTTGTGAATGAGCAACACATACTTGTGAATTGATAGGATAAAACCCATTGGGCTACTCATCCATAAACCACATTTGACTAGCCACAAGATAAAAGAATGAGAAGGGGAAATGGGGTTCAATCTGGACATGAGCACATCAGAGCCATAGGACAAGCAATCAACTACTCACACACCCATCAACTAGGCTGTAAACTAAATAAAAACATTTCCAACAGAATTAATTTTGTTCTGAATCAGCTTTCATAAGTGGTATATTCATTCAGGTTACAAAATCAAATCAGGGGAATTTATTTTCCTCGCAACTTACCACATAGTATAGTAGAACAAAAGAAGAACCAGTCGGTCCAGATTGATAACAACTAGTTCACATATATGGCAATGGAAACATATGTATGATATAAAAGCCAATTTAACTTTAACTAACCGCATTTGATGCCAAGTAAGTCAAGAAGCTGGAAGTTTTTAAAATTTAATCCTAATACTATCCCGATCTACTCACCTCGCGTGCAGCTTCCATGCTCAGTCTTCGTAGGTCTGCATCAGTGCCTGTTACTGTTGACCCTTTGGCAACAACTGCTTTTTTCTTGGAGATTGCATTTGGTATTGGTGCCTTAGGAGTGGTGCGTACATAACTGAACCCTAATCCCCGACCAGATGGATCACCAACACCAGTAATTTCCAGACGCTCAATATTTTCTCTGTCCTACAGAGAAGTATCAAGAAAGATCAAGTTTCAGGACTAGCTAGAATGCTATGAATTACAGAAAACAATGTGTATGCATATATAACAGCACTAACTCGATGAAACAGTATATGTTACAATAGGAATACTTATTATACTTTTTTAATGATAAAAGGAATGTTCCTTATACTCTATCAAGGCAACAGAAAGTTCTGAACTATTTAAAGACATCAAGGCTGCCATGTCAATGCATCTCTGATGACCAGATAAAAGGTTAAGAAGATTAAAGAAGTGACCATACAAGAACAAGAATGACCAAACATAGTTTCTGAGAAATATTACAGAATTCGGAATTTTATTGGGTTGTGTTTTCTCATACCACCCTTTCCTGGAATACACAATATAAAAGAGACGAACATTTTGTTGAAGACTAGACTACAAGAAAAATGATGCAAGTATGATCTACCTGGTTTGTACAGGCAACAAAGTTGCTACTCAAGTTCCAAGGTGTGATTAGAAGTTCCCTTTCAATATGTGATGCAGCAGCTAAAGCAATCGCTTCATCTGGGAGCTGGTTCATTGCAGCTGATAGACCTGTAGGATGAGTAAGCCGCGTAATACCTAGGCGCTTAAGCCTATACAGGCCAGCTTGCATGCTTTCATATGCACATACCTGAATCAAATGACAAGCACGAAACAAAGAATTTCTGATAAATGGTTGTAAACCCAATAACATAGTCAACGTTAAACGGTAGAGAAGAAGAGACCATATTGGGGCAATATCAGTATAGCGAAAAACATTACTACATTCTCGGAAAATAACATTTGAATCCTAGTTTGCACCAAGGTCAAAAACTTTCAGAAGTCACAATCTCTACCCACTTTGTCAGTTATGAAAATGAAAGGGAATGAATTTTAAATTTCTTATTGCAACAGAGTCCCACAATTTGAACTACTCAACAAGAAAAACAACTTATACCATTCTTGATGAATTATGTTCTAGGTCTTTAATGAATGCTTGGTTTATGTTATGGAAGAAATGTATATGTGATATCAGATATTGCCTCGTCCTAGTTATATATGAAATGAACTAAAGATATAGGATTCTAATAGACTAGAAGTCCTTCCGGCCCCTTGTGACTGTGAATTGAGTGGGGAGCAGCATGATTTAGGCCTTATGTATGTTATATTAAATCTAGCTTAGTGACTATTGTTAAAGTTACATTTAAAAATAATAATTTTAAATATAGTTCAAATAAAGGAAAATTTAAGAACGAAAGTTTAGTCAATTTTAAAGTACCAAATATTAGGAGTTCTTACCTATTACAAATATGTAAAGATTTAATAGCTATAAATTTAATTAATTTCAAAGTCCGAAATATTTTAATTGAACGACAATTATTTGAGGAAAATAGTAAATGACAATTTTATCTATTGTAGAGTCTTTCAATGAAGAGCAAAAAGTTCAATCAACATTTCTAAGTTCCTTCATGCTTTTAGTATAATTCTGTTAAAGAATGCTATAGACAGCTTGGAAACCAAGATAAGGTTATTGACTCATGGCCCTGGAAATTGATTTGGAGGACACTACCTACTAAGATCATGTGCTTCAGTTGGTTAGCCCTCATTAATGCCAGCCGTACTATAGATAACCTAAACAGGAAAGGATATCACAACTGGTTAACAGATGTAATCCTTGCAATTGTCAAAAGGAAACAGTCAACCAACTTTCCTGCATTGTCCAGAAGCTTTTGGCCTTTGGAGCTTGTTTTTCAGCATTTTTGGATTAAATTAGGTAATGCCTCAGAATCTGAGAGAGGCATATGTGAGTTGGAGTCATTGGAAAGTTGATAAGACCATCAAGAAGATCTGGTTGATGATACCTGCTGCTATTTTTTGGAGCCTTTGGAAAGAGAAAAACAGAAGGTGTTTTGATGGCATTTCAACTCCAAGCCATTCTCTTAAGCTAAATGTTTAGATCTCTTTTGTTGGACACTCTTGTTCCCAATAACTAACTCAGTACAGCTTTTGGATTTTATTAGCACTTTAGTTCTTGATTGAGACATTGTATTTGGGGTAAACAATGTTCTCCTACTCTTTTGTTCTTTGGTAACTAGCCACCAGTGACTTTGCATCTCCTTGAAACATTACTTCATCAAAAGAAGCTATATAATACAGATGAAGACGTCTGAATTTGAATGCGCATTTGAATATTAAGCCTCCTCCCAATACCAAATGTGCTAAAGTGGAAAACTCCATCATAATCAAAAGATGAAGCTTTAAGAAAGTGTTATTTGTACCCAAGTTATTTTGACAAGTGCATGACATCTCTTAATGCATCAATTAAAGAATATTTTTTAAACTGGAGAGAGGGAGATCTTTTCAGGGGGGTGGAGGAGAAGATGAGAGAGAAATTTAAAACAAGGATCTTTTGAAAGAACTCACACTTTCCGGTGAAACCAGCCTCCTCAATTCCTCCTCGGATGGTATCCGAAAATTGAACCTCATAACCCATTGGAACTGTCCATTTGATCTTCTCTGCATCATGTCAGCACCCAAGTTACTTACCAGACACATAAGGGGAAGAAGCACACAAAGTGCCACAAAGACGAGTTTTAATAAATTATTTCCCTCTAATGCGGAGTTGAGTAATGCCTGTACTAAAGAATTTACCCAGGAATTGAATGATGTTTCACAAAAGTACCTGCAAATCAGCACAATGCTTGAGTCTTTTCCTAAGAAAGGCCTCTGACAAACTAGGGAACTGTGCGGACAGCTCATCTGCGCGGATGAAAGGACGGGAACCGCGCTTTTCAATAGCTCGAAATTCACGATACATATACACCAATAGTCTGTTCATTATGTAGGTCTGAACACCTTTTGATCCAGGAGAGATTACCTCCATGTGAGGCTCCTTCAAAGATAACAGGGAAAGGCAGATTAAACAAGGAAATAGATCCACCACATATTCGTACAGAAGCAATAACGAACAGATTAGTCATAAAATATTCATATTAATCATCCTCTTCAAGCATAAGATTTCGACATAGCTATAGAATGCTTGCACATTAAAGAAACATGGTTATCCTCTTCAGGTATAAACATCGACATAGCTATAGCATGCTTGCACGTTACAGAAGCATGTATTAGCATACTGCACAAAGAAAAATCCAATATCGAATAGGATCGCAAAATCTAGAGGACTAAGTGAATTGTCCTCAAACACTATTGTAAATTTGGCAACCTGAGTTGAAAGTTAATTGAGTTTATAGAGAGAATGTCATGCCAATACCTCCATCACCAAAAAGTAGAAAAATCCAAAGATAAAGGTAGTTACCACAACTAATGAAAAGCAAACTCTACTTTCCCCCAGGAATAAAAAAAGAAAAAAGCACATGAGTTCAATAAATATGTAGCTTCAGATTCCTTTTCCTTCACGAATTCCGGATCATCCAATTTTTAGCTTATTTATTTCAGATCTGTCAAACTACAATCTGATACTCCACCATCAAGGGCCTGGAACAGCATCAACTCATTGGCATGCCCTGACACTCAGGTCCTGCATCTCGCATGATCATTAAAAGATATAGTAATGGTGTGTATTTTGAATATGCAACTGGTCATCAAAGGTAGTTTTCAATCGCACTAATGAAAAAATTCAGGCAACGTAACATCAAGAGAACTTCTAACCAGATCTAGCAAAACAAGTTGAACGCTTCAAGAAGAATGCATGTGGGCAATGCAAAAATATGAGAAAATCAAAGGCATCCCCATCACAGGAGGACCAATTCATATGCCTTCCGAATTTCAAAACTCAACCTTATTATGCAACAGCACATTGCTTTAGGTTCCATACTGGCAAAAACATAATAACATGAACCCAGAAATTTTCATGATACAATGGTTCAATAAAGTCTACTACAACAATCAATATTTTAGCAAAAAGTTCATCAGAAAATGATAACATAAAATTTGCATAGTGTGATCAAGTAAGTACTCCGATGAGCCAAGTTAAGGATAGTAGATAACCTGTTGCCCTACAACATCAATCCTGTCTATCCGCCTTATGGACAGCTTACCCTTTGTTGAGCGAACCAACAAATAGTCAGTTGATGAGACCTTCTGCTGAAAAATTGGTGCCCTATACATATTTGTTTCAAGAGATGACTGAGCGCAACCAGGTTTTATATCCCCAAGGAAGGGGGATTTATCAGAATGATCAAGTGTGAGTACACTCCCCAATCCAGTATTTCCATTGCGCATCAAGGTGCCTTGCTGATCATTTGGAGATAATTTTTGGTAGTAAGTACACAATCTTGCACCCATTCCAACATTTCCAAGGAGCAAAGGTCTCTCCTCACAGTATCTGCAAGTAGAAGAGCAGACAAAAGTGTTGAGCAGCAGACTAAGGAAAAACATCATAAAGTTGTATATACTTGAAAAGAAGTGATGAAATTCTTTTTCAATATTTTAAATCAAAAGGTTTCATTAGAAACACAACAAGGTGGTGACGAAAATATGTACCATGTGATTGCATAGAGTGCTACGTTATAAAATCTATCCAATTGTTATACGAAAAGGGATCTACTCACACCTAAAATTTAGATTGAAAAAAAAAGAATTGTATTCATCAATAACACCAAGGTGGTCACAAAAATATGTATGGATGTTTTTATGGAGTGCTCATCTGTCAAATCTATCCAACTGCTATACAAAAGGGGGTCGTACACCTTGGCACCAAAAATATAGATGATGAACAAGAGCAACAATATCCAGAAGATGAAGATGAAGTGCTTAGTTTTGTTTCATTTTTGGTGTAAACAGGAGTATAGGGAAGATCTAGAATCAAGTATGGATGTCTTAGGATCATTGTAAATTTTTGTTAAAAGGGTTGAAGATCTTCTAGATACTCCTCCTCAATTGTAATTACGAAACCTGTAACTTGTCGTGGCAAGTTTCTGTTTTTGTGGAAATAGAATACAAGTTGTTACCTTCTCAAAAAAAAAAAATATATATATATAGATGAAAGAAAAAGGATCTTTTAATGCTTCATATATCCACCTCTATACTGTTAAATTAGGTATTGGGCCTAACTCACACCCCAAAAGCTAGCTCAAAGGGAGGAGGATTGCCCAAGCCTTATAAGGAATCCAATCATCTCACTAACCACCAATGTGGAACTTTTGTCATTCTTTAACACCCCACCTCACGCCCAGTGCTTAGCATATGGTGCGTGGGCAATTTTGATCACAAATAGCATTTAAGATGCTATTTGCACAATTCACAGGGAAAACAATTGGCTTCAGTTACATCTCAGAAAGTAAAATTCTTTATTATCCTACTCGGATATTTTGAATTTCCATTACAACAAGAAAAAAGAAAAAGCACTTCAAAAAATTCATACCAATAAACTACTTATGTGCGACACGAATCTCCACTTAATCAATGCAACAGACCTACTCAACTTTGACATAGATCACTTTTCTTTTTATAAGCAAAGGCATATTATTCATCTATCACAGCACCTAGAGAGTGCTGGATGTTTATCAGTACAAAAATGAGTGTCTCATCAGATCATCCTTAATTAAAATTCCTACATTTAGATGATGATGATAATCAGACAACCAGTTACTTCTATTTAATAAACGAGAAATCCCCATGGACCAGGTAGTGCTCAGTTCTAAACTTGGCGGATGATGGGTCAGTCCCTCTACACTTTACTTAAATACCAAGCCTTTTCTATGACAAGGTTCGAACTAGTGATATGCGCGCCTATTCAACACATCGTGTGTTGCACTTTTACCACAAGAATGAAACTACGGCCCCAGAAAAATCAATCAATCTTGCATTCAATATCCACAATATGACCATCCTCTCTAATCAAATACCAGCATAATTGTTATTACATTGGTCCACGGTGTCACTACAATGATAGTGCCTCTATTAGAACTCCTGCCATAGCAATGGCACCTGTATAATATTAATTTCTCACAACAAACTTATTACCGTCCTGCCAAAGCAATGGCACCTGTATAGTATTAATTTCTCACAACAAACTCATTACCCACTGTTATTCTCTTCTTCTTTTTATGAAGGTAACATATTTTATATTATCAAAAGAGTATCCCTCAGACTGTGTTAAGAGAAACATAGTTACAGGAACCTCCAAAAAACAAAAGGCCAATTCCTGAACTAGTTACAATGACCCAATAAAGTCAATTACAGAATCTACATTTTCTACTAGGGCCTTTTTACACCAAAATGAAATTAAAACATAAAATTCATTCTAATCTTCTGTTCTGTGTTAGCTACATGCCTACATCTTCAAAACAACTTGCATTCTATTCTCTCCATATTGTCCACCAGATGCCTGCAGAAATAATTCTCCGTCATCTCTTCTGCCTCTCAAAATTGCCTGGGTCATTCGAGCATGCTAACAACTCAGCAGTTTTCCTAGGCATTATCCATCTAAGTCCTTTCATACCAGGAAAACCTGTCACAAAGTACTGGTAACTTTGCAATGGATAAATAGATGGCTATTTGTTTCATTTCTTTCCCACATAGAAAACATCTAGAACACAATTGCATCCCTCCCTTAATCAGCATATCATGTGTTAGCACAGCCTCCTTACAAGCCAACAGAAACATGCCACTTTGAGTGGTATGTTGACCTTCAAAATGTGCTTCCAGTTCCATGTCCCAAAATGTTGTTGTTCAGACTTCTTCAGTATACCATATGCTGATTTCACAGTGAAGATACCTTTGCTGCCCCCTTTCCAAATCAATTTGCCCACTTTCTTCACATTTCCTTTAAAACCATCCAAGAGTCCGTAGAAGTCAATCATTTTAACAACCTCCCAATCATTAAGATATCTTCTGAAGTTCAAATTTCAACCTTCTAGACTGCAAACCTCAGCAACAGATGCTTGAGGTTGTTGCACCAAATTATAAATATCTGGAAACATTTCTTTAAGGGATCCATTGCCAATCCAATCATAACTCCAGAAAGATTTCTTTGCTCCATCACCAACCTTGATGCTAGTATTGTTGATAAAAATTGACCACTAAGATCTTATTGATTTCCACACTACAACATCTAAATACCCAGTGAGGTCCTACAAGTGTGGTATAGGGAGGGTGAATATTACTCCATTTACTCCACTTCTGTTTCGAAATTTGATCAGAAGGTCCCTTCACTTTGATCCGAGCCCATTTTAGATGATTTCTCAAGGTTGTCTCCTCATCTGTCTCAAACCAGCCACCACATTTATCTTCAATAGATTTGGAAATTTTTCGAGACCATATAACTGAAGCTATTCCCAATATTCTTACCCAAACTCCACCCAGTTTCACAGTTGCAGGAAGACACCCAGCTTCCAGCGATTACCATTGAAGACTCAACAAGTTATTTGTCTACCTCCATTCTCCCATCTTGATGTGTTCTGCCATTTTCCTGGAAGGAAATTCAAAGAGGAATTTTGATTCGTGCATCTCATACATTTGCATCCCTAGTATCGTGTTCCAGTTATTGATGGTCCAGATACAAATTCTGAGAGAATAGTAAACTCTTTGGCACATCGAAATTTCCTACTAGGCACCTGCTCAAAACATGTTCTTTGAGATACCCGGACCATCTACAACGATACGAGATGTGTGAGTGTTTGTACAGGCCATCGAGGCTCGTTTTTCTCCTCATTTATCTGCTTTGAAAACTTCAAAATAGGACTGCTACGCTGTGGTTTTAATGTTTCTTTGTATAAACAGGTCATCCCTGTAATAGCTATTGAAATTTCATGGCATGTTTTCACATGACTGACAGCTATCCAATTTTAGGGAAACAGGTAATGATGGACAATGAGGTACCACAACTCTTAAAGTCCGTACACTGAAAATAAAGCAAAAACTATAGTTTATCGAAAGAATATGGGAGAGGATATCTGTAGCATTCACAAGCCATGCAACTGGTCGTGTCTCACAGCCTCAACTTTCTGTCTATAAACCACTCTTTTCTTGAAACTATACTTCTTATGTCTTCAATGATGAACTTAAACAATCATGCTCACATTAAGATTCAGGTTTCACCAAAGCAAACCTAAGTCTGGGAATAACCTGGAGAAGCATATATACATCTATAAAATTAGCGGGTAAAGAGTTATAAGTGTGAATCATTTAGACTAGTCCCTTAACAACCAACAATCAGCACAACAGATTACCCTAGGGGTAGCAATTTCAACATTTTTGACATACAGATGGTTGTGTAAACAACCTGTCATTGTGTCACTATCCTCGTCACAAATATGTTTCAAGATGAGTGTGCCCCAGGTATCTACAAGCCAATGGTCAAGTGAATGCCACAAGGCGACACAAAACCACAAAAAGATGGAGCATCCACCAGAAGAGAAAAACTACTTGCAATTTAACAGGTATAGGGTATCTGTCCATATTGAGCGTGAACTAATCAAAGAAGAAAGGCCATCAAAATATCTATAGAAAATACCCAATAAATCTTTGGGTTTACTTACTCCATTAGGAAAACATGGCCATCTTTTGCGGAAAGATCAGATTTTTTTTTAAATGCACCAGGAGGACGCAGGGACTTGTTCTCACCAGGAAGCTTTTGTGCCCTAGGCAACAAATGTATCCTGGTACGAACAAGATGCAGCACAGAGTTTGGTGGCACATTTTGGGCAGAAAGAGATTTATCATCTTCAAGCTCCTTCCCACAGTAAATTATCTTCACTGGCTCAGACAGTTTGAAATCTATAGACAAATAACATGGTGAAAGTTAGTAATAGCTGGGATATGAAGGTACTAAATAGATTTAATATAAGTGAAGTTTAGGAACTAAAAGGATAGGAAAAATTACAAACCAAGCTTCTTGGATGCCTTTGACTTAAGGGAAGAAATGGTCTCCTCTGCTGCCACATGAAGTTTACTTCCTTTGCCACCCAAGCTTTTCAATATGATTTTCATTGGCCCTTGTGTAGGCAACTTTCTCTGTTCCTTAAGTACCACCTCATTGTCATGGGGATGCCATAAAGCTCTTGGCCGATGAAAATTTGCAATGTCTTTACTGCAAAGAGGAATAAATCACATCAACAAACATTAAAAACGAAGCAATCAACCAATACATATGATAAATCCAAGAAAACACACCTCCGAATCTTGTTAATAAAGGTCATTAGGTAGTCTAACAAAACACTGATGGCAGTAGGGCACTTATGATGCTAATCCCTAAGTCCATAGAGACTGATGCAATAAAAAACTGTTTTTTCCCTGGGTTGCTTAAGTCCTGATAAGTAAATACAGTCCAAAGATGTTCATTGAACTGCAAAAGCAGTCACTTATGGCTATAAAACACGCAAATAAGCCTGAAAAGTGATGGGTTGAGTTTGGGTTGTTTAATGGGTTAACTTTGGGCTACCTTTTGTCATGGGTTAAGATGGGTCCTGCCCAAACATAGCCCATGCCCAACTGATTATGGACGGGTTGGGCGAGTCAAATGAGTTTGGACAGTATTTATCACCCCTACTCTATAAGTATGACATCACAGAAATCTTCTTGGAAATGAAAAAGAAAGGTAAGTGGAATCTTCTTGGTCAGTCAATCATCATTTACTAAAGGGAGAGGAAGTAGAATGCCCATATGCATCGGTAAGACACCCAATGTTTCAAGTAAAGTATGTTTGTTTCACTTGTCTGCAGCAAAGGAGGCTAATCTCACAGCAGAAAACTTGTAGAGAAAGAAGATCACACAAGTCCGTTGCTTAAATATGTAAATATTTGGAAGGGACATGGAATATCTATAGTTGCATTGCCAAGTCGTAAGGTAGTTATGGTGGACACTGCTGAATTTGTGCAAATTACAGTGGTCAATATCACTGATAGCTAAGATGTGATTTTCGGTTGCGCCATCAGACAAAGCAAATGGAGTGGTGTGTTGTTCTTTTGGCACCTATAGATAATTCGAAAAGAAAAGAGCAAGACAGCTTTCGAAGGGTGTGAACTCCCGCCATTCAGATGTGGTCATGTTTTTCATGTTTTTGTTCCGAATAAACGTTTAATGCACCATGGGGTATAGATGATAGGGTGTTACTTGTAGAGAACTATATTTTTCTATCATTTGAATACCGGGAATTTTTCCCGCCACATCAATGAAGTTATTACTATATCAAAAAAGAAAAAAATTAGAGAAGAATTAACCATTTGTATAAGAGAGTGCCAAATGAAGTACACAAGACTTACTTGCTTAGCTTAGCCTTCATTGTCTGCAGCTTAAGAGCTGGTATTGAGTGCAGAACTTTGAGACCATGTGCAGTGCGTTTCTTTGAATGTGATTTTAGTTGCTGAGTTGACTTTCTGTTCAAATAATATTTGTCATTGGCAATATTGAAACGCCCGGATAAACCACTGAGGCCATATAACTCGGCAGAATCACCAGTACTGGGCTTCACTAAACCAGTTGTGATCATTGCTCCAGCATGAAGCATAAGCTGTTGGCCGTCCCTGTTATCCAGAACTTCAAAAAGCATTTGTTCGTCTTGAAGATCATATATGAGCTTTGGCTTCGGAAAGGGTTGATCTGGTTCCCAAATAATGTTGTCCACCCAAGATTCCTCCAGTATATCTCTATTTTGTAATGTAAGCTTGCTAAATCGCCTTAAGGCATCACTGCTAAGGATTTCATTAGTGTCTTCATCCTTCGGAGTATCTGTGCTCCTTTGCCTATCTGCATTCAAGCGGGACTCTAGTCTCAAAAGCTGAGGGTGATATCTTCCTTCTGATAATGAATTATCCAGGTGTCCTGAAGGTTGTTTTGAACCAAAAGGCTCCACAGAAACACTGCAAGAAAAAAAGGAGCTATGACCTTTTTCATGGGGTTCAATTTCTTTTTCTGACTGTAAACTTTGAGACTCGGCCTCCACATCCAGTTGTTTATCAGTCAATGCTTCATAATCAGGTTCAGAAATCTCACAACTCTCAGCAGTATTATCACTCAATGGAGGAGAATTATCCCAAATAATTCTATCCTCCCAGTCTTGCTGGTCAAGAGGATAGAACTCAGGACAAATGGGTGAGCTCCAATCAGCAGAAAGATCCATTGATAGATTTTCTTTCATTGGTTCAGCACTACAACAAGAATCCTTTTTCTCGATTTTTGGCTTTAAGTCATCAGTCCCTTGAACTGTTCCTGGTTCATTATCCAGCAACGTTAAAGCACTATCATGATGTACATGGGTCATCCTCAACCAAGGAAACTCTTCATAGGACCCTCTCAGTAATTTAACTTCATCTTCTTCAACAATATCCAGTGTGTCCATGGCCTTGTATTTGTCTGTTGATACAAGAATGTGCTACAGAAAGGCTCATCAACTGTACTAATACTACCAAACAGAACTGAAGAAAGAGATTTTTCTTATTTGCAAAAGGTACCTTTGGGAACAGAGCAACGTCGCTCCCTCTTCTCTGCTTTCTTCCGAGGTTTATGAAGGGCAAAAATTTCAGAGAACTTCAGAATTGCCACCCCATCTTCGACACAAAGAACAGGTAGTGGCAGAGAGCTTTGACTTTCAACTGGCTCTTCCAAAGCAAGAGGTTCTTCCTGACAACCAGCATAAAAAGCAGCACTGTTTAGAAAACAAGAGTTATTCTAAAGTAGACAACAGAATAAGACAATTACAGTCTCCATAAAGACAACTTATCTGCAGTTGTTAGCTTATGCCAAGCATAGAGTAGAAGTACATAATAGAGGAGAACAATATTTCGAACACTTAACAGAACTCCTTTCAAATAAACGCAGATCTACAGCGGAATAGACAGGAAGAAAAGAAAAAAGAGAGTGCTTTAATATTTGTCAACTTCCCAATAGTGATAAACTGAGAAGAAAAGAAAAACAGAAGTAAAACTAAAAGTTTTGTATATTACTAAGAGAGGTCCCCCAGAAATTATAGGATTTTAACTAACATTAAAAATACATATATCAAAGGCATTTATAAAATGCATTAACTAACATCATCAATCTTCAAGCATTAAAAGAAATTATTGTCATGGAAGATTATGAACTACTCAAATAGCTATTTCAGGAAAATCTCAAGAAGCCATTGATTGCTCGTAAATAGAAAGTGACGCAAGATATCAATTGTTGATGACCTATTTCACAAGAAGTGAGAAAGAAAGAGATGACATGCACTTCATGCTACAAGTCAGAATAAAAAGAACACAAAAAGATGAGTAGTTTTTCTTTTTAATTTGTAGAGGGCAAACCTCTTGAAGATCTTCACTAGATTCGAGAGCATCTGTGGATATAACTTCTTCTGGAACCTTATTCCCATGAAAAATGACTTCAGCTTCATTGTTGTACTCTCCTACAAACAGAACATGACAAATAGGTCTAACGTGAAGATGCAAAGAGATATATTTAACTGAAATAATGTAACTCCATGATTTATTCCTTTTCCTCCTACAGTAATCTCCCTATCCTTAATTAATTCCTCATATCTCAGCAGATCTTGGAAAGCAATCAAATTTTCATATCTTAACATCTTTTTTTTTCTTCAATGGAAGGATACAGTCAGGAGCAGAATTCTTTGATAGTGTTGTCCAGAAATTTTTGAGATGGAATACAAAGCTAACAGATACTAATCCACTACAAAACACAAAGTGCTCTACTTTTGATGTATATTTCGGAAGAAATAAAGTTACATCTCCTTTTTTCTTTTATTTTTTTTTCGGTTTGTTTTCCACCGGTAGTTTTAGAAAACAGAAGTTAAACACAAATTCGGTCCGAAAATAAAAAAAGATGATTGAAAAAGAAAAAGTGAATTTCGTTAGTTCTGAGAGGCAAATCTGAGCAAGTATTCCTTCTCAAAAACCTGAGCAAGTACTTCAACAATAAGGGCAGATTCAGGACCAAATTCAAACAGAGAGCGATTGTTAAAAGAAAACATGGTGTCTAGACCAGCTTGTGCTCGCCTCGACTAGTTCCATGTGATACCAGTTTGAAGAGCAGTTTGTCCCTTTTCCCTAAATAAACAAGCTGAAGCAAAACAAAATAAAAAGTACGCAACATGTCTTTTGTTATTCGCATTCGGTCCATCCTACCCGCAGCTCCCTGCCTCTTCCCGCTGCAAAATCCATCTGCTCATTCAGAGTCCTGCCATAGCGTCAAGGCATCTAACGCCCCCATGATCTTTCCCTCATAAGACCCCCCACCACCAAAAAAAAAGTATTTTGTCTCATGGACTTGTTCACAGCTGCTGCAAACAATTTTAGTTCACCAAAAATTGCTAGCAGAAAACTGAAATTTGACACAGAAAGCTGCAACAGAAAAAGAGTTTGACAAATACCTACCACAAAGACTTATCTCAAGGATCAACTTTTTTTTATCTTGTGTTCTAGGATAATATCTTGCTTTCACAATTCTCGTTTTATTTTCTGCTGCCCCCTTACAGATGGGACTCTGAGTTATGTCGGCTTTCAAGTTCATTTTAGGTGAGCAGCGCTTTCTGTAATAGAACTGAGGTTTGTACAAACTAACACGAGGAACAGCCCTTTAAATCTAGTAGTGGCAATCAGTGAAGAGATTAAAATATCAAAAGGTAAAGTTACACTCTAAAGATTGTAGACAGTCATCAAAACTTCTGAGTAACAATATAAAAGCATTTACGAAACACCAGTACCCAAGAAAACAATGCTTTTAAACTAACCTTTTACAGGAGTAGATTGAACTTCAGCAGTGTTCTCTACCACCTCCTGTTCCTTCTCTTCATTATCATCCTCATCATAGTTTTCATCATCGAAAACAGAATCACGATTCTCCAAAGTAGTTAGAGAGATTTCTGTTGAAAAATAATCCCTCTTCGGCAATAATAGGTCCTCTTCAGTAACAGTTTGTACCTCGGGTCCTTCATATTGCTCATCAATGTCCTCATAATCTACAGCGTCTTCAGCCTTCTCATCATAATCTGTGTGTTCAATGAAGCAGAGGGAAGAGTAGTAATGAGAAATGACTTCTGAAAGAAAAGATGGGTCGAACTGAATCTAATGGCTTCAGAATGATGATGAAAACCCAGTGTAAGCTCTATGAAACACTGAACCATGTGTTGTGTTTAATGTAAGAATAATAATTTAGAAAACAGAATAAAGAACTATAAGCCCACTGGAGCTTTAACACACCAAGGTCCAGATATAATAACACAAAGAAGAAATGCAGAAACGTTTTCTGGCACGCAAAAGACATAAAAAGAGTCTGTTAAACAAAAGAATGTCAGCTGCAGGTTAGTATTGCTAAGGAGCTCCATTTGGTGGAACTATTTCAAATATCAGCATCTAGCCTAACCATGAATATCAACTTAGTTATAATTTCTAGTATTTCCCAATTCACTGCAGTTATATGAATTATCAGAATGTCAAACACGTAAATTGTTGCTGGCTTTTTCTATAATGTATTACAGGTTCAAACCTATGCTTACAATGTCTAATTAAGAATGCTTTCACTTGTGATAAAAGAGAACTTTTATAGGACGAAAGAAAAGGACAAAAGAATTGTCAACGAAAGTATCAAAGAAACTGCATGAGAGGGCATTCATGGAAAAACATGTACCTTGTTCAGCAGCATCTGCAGATTCTTGTGGGGACTTCACTGACAACTGAACATCCAAGGGAAACAGATATGGAGAAATTATTAGCACCAAACCTAATCAGGTAGAAATTGGGTAACAATCATTCATATTTGTAGTACCTCATCCAAAATACAATACCAAATAAAATCATAGTGATAAAAGATTGGGACTACACTTCTCAGAAGATATAATTCCAAATTATAGAGACAAAAGAGTTCTGTTACATACATCTATCTCTGTCAGAGACGGACCAAGCTTGTCAGCTAAAGCAGCAAGATGCTCCTTGGCGTCCTGAAAAACATAATTTCCATAAGATTTTGACCTCTTGATAAGCAAAGATGACACCACAAGAAGCTCAAACAACACAACATGCGAGATCTGAAAGAGAAAATTGTGGAGCATGAAAATGAAATGAACGATACTTCCACAAATAGGTCATAAACCCTGCTAGCATCCTCCCTTGGATGAGATTGTTAAGATATTAGCTACAGGAAACATCTGGCTCTTGTTGCAATTGTTCTTATTGAAAGAATTACTACACTTAGGGGTCGTTTGGTAGTTGGTTAGGAGGTAAGTTATCCATGTATAACTTCCTGCATAAGTAATGCCATGTTTGATTGCATTCTTTTACAACATACCTAGAGTAAACCCACTAGTGGGGTCTGAAAAGGGTGGTGTGTACACAGACCTTACCCCTACCTTGTAAAGGTAGACAAGTTGTTTACGATAGCCCCTCGGCTCAAGTAAATCACATCATAGCATATCAAAGCGGGTACTAAAAGGAAATAATGGAGAGAAGAACAGTACCAACATTAGTATTACAATAACTGAAGCAAATGAAATAACATGTAATAATAAAAAAGAATAATCCAGTAGGAGAGTAATAATAATCATAATAGTTATAATTATAACACTGATAAAGAAACTAAACAACGCCCAACTACATACTAATCTTCTACCCTAATCCTCGACATCCATAACCTCCTAACTAGGGTCAGTATCCTCGGTAAGCTGCAGGTGTGTCATGTCCAATCGAATCACCTATCCCCAATACTTCCTCTGCCTACCTCTACCTCTCATCAGCCTCACCACAGTCAACCTCTCACACTGCACCATTGGGGCATTTGACCCTATACAATTTCCAACTTAATTCACACTATGTTTTTCTTCACAAAAACATTTGACCCTATACAATTTGCAACTTAATTTTGGGGTAGGCAGCATAGGCACAAAATATTTTGGAAGCAGGAGTGTGTGCTTTTAATTAGAAAAAGGTTTTCCCTTGGGAAAAACTGTTAACCTTCATGGTCCTCCCAAAATTTTGTACTGGATTTCAAGCGAGTAATGTATTCCTTAGGTTTTGCTCCTAGCGACAACTAAAATAAGTGAAAGGGAGCTTGAACACTTCATCACCCTCAATCAATGCCCAACCTCAGGCTGACCACTTTCCACATTAAAATAGAAAACATGGTCCATGTAAAGGTATAATGGAGTTGCTTATGCTGAAATCCCAGCAAATAATTATCCGGTTAAGTTCCACTGCTACTTGGAGACACTTTAGTACCAATACTAACATATTAATTTGGGGTCTCACAGCATATTATATAAGAGTCAAATTACATAGGGAGAAAGGAGCAAATCACCTCGTCAAGGTAGTCAACATCGAGATCACCAGAGTAGTCAACATTACCAAACATAAATCCCAAAAGTCGGTTACCACCGCCAGCTTCCTCATATTCTTCCTCATCATCTGCAAAAACCAGACATAGTTGTCAGTTAAATTACACTGAGATTGCCAGCTTCCTCACTTTGCAGAAACAAGTAGAAATAATGAGACGCTATAATGGACAGAAGAACTCAGCCCTGTAGGCCAAATCAGATAGTTCTTTGCTGATAGACTTTTGGTGTAAAAGGAATGGATAGAGGATAATGAACCCAATTACAGTTAATGGAGTTTTTTGTATAGTATAGCCAGGGTTTTTTCCTTTGCTCCTTTTTCTCTTTACCTGTTCTCTCTTCTGGATTCTTGTTTGAGGCACATTACTGCTGGTTTTTGACATCAATAATACTTACCCATTTCAAAAAAATATTAAGAATAATGAGGCCGATACAAGGCTTCAAAAAGACCATATGTCGGTGTAAAGGAACTAAGCTGGAAGACTAAGGATAGAAGCACACACAATTTGGAATTGATGTGGGAATGCTTGGAATTTCAACTATCATAAATAAGTATTCATAGCTAAAAAATGCTCCCGGGCACTAGTTTCGAGACAATCTTCTGACGTCCCTTCTGGACTTCGGAGGTTTTTTCTTTTCTCCGGTGGACTTCTTCCACCGGAATACTACTCTTTTTTTTTTCTTTCTTTCTCGTTCTTTCTTTCTCTCTTTTTTTTTTTTTTTTTTTTTTTTTAAACTCCATTGCTGTTCAGATGGACAGCAGAGTTTATTTCAGATCTGGGGGGAAGTCTTACGACATCACGGAGTCTAGATCAAAAGCTGAAGTATGGTATGACTGGGTTGAAGATGCTAGGCATCACATGAGGAGAATGGTTCTTAGCAGGGGAGCACTCGGTTGGGTCTGCAAAAGGCTAACAGAGGCTTCAGGGATCAGAGGGAAAGCAGCCAAGTCATGGAGATGCAGGGATTTCTCAACGAACTTCTTTATAGCTTTGAAATTCAATCAATACGGGAGATACCTGTCTCTAATTTCAGTTAAAGGTAGTGACAGAGCAGTTATTATACTCCCAGAAAGTGCATTCAATGAGGGGTGGGGAAAGTTAGCTAAGAAGATAGAAGCATTCATTAATAGGGGTATAAAACAAACAAAAGCATTTAAATTATCAGGGGAGGCAGACTATGCTGCTAACAAGGGGGGAAGGAGTTATAGAGACGTTTTGCAGAAAAGTAAATGGACCAGAATTGAAACAGAGCTAGCAGAAGAAGGCAGCATGTTGCAAGCTCGAGTCCAATTAGAAGACGAAGACCTATTGGCACGTTGTCTAGTGGGGAAATTTTTTGGAGAAGATGATACACCCACTAGAAATGATGTAAGAAGATGGGCTCAACAGACTTGGAATGGAGCGCATGGAGTCCAAGTCTATGATATGAATGGAATTTTATTTCTTTTTGAATTCCAGTCCAGTAAAGCAGCAGAACACGTTTTGATGGGTGACTGGAGAAGACAAGGGAGCAGATTAAAGCTTCAATGGTGGTCGCCGACCATTGGGGCTTTCCCAATAACCCATGAGTTCGAATGGTTTTGGATTCGAGTTCTAGGGTTGCCTCTACATCTCTGGTCCAGGCCAATAATGAAGGAAATTGGAGATCGGTGTGGCGGCTGGATAGAGACAGAAGAAGAAACCGATCTCAAAAATCATCTCCGTTGGGCTAGGATTCGTGTCAAAGGTCCGGCAAAAAAAATTCCGGCATCCATCGAGATCGCCGATGAGGAGAACATCTTCTCTCTACCTATATGGGTAGAATCGCCGGTGACTTTTCGTAAGAAGTACGATGAGGGAGCGTGTACAAGTAAGGAAAGAGACGAGGGTGGGTATCGAGGGAGGAACCCATCAGATCTGTCTAGGTGCAGAGATATTCATAGGTCTGAAAAGCTGCCTGTTAAACCTAACAGAGAAGAAAAGGTTTTTTTTGGTGAAAGAAGTCACGTGGGTGAAAAAGTCATAAAGGGGGCCACTTCAAAACAAATAGAGGGCCACTTGGTTTTAAACCCTGGCCCAAGTCATTTGGGCATGTTAAAAGCCCAATTTTCAAAAGACTGCCCGACAGAACCTGAACCTTTTATTTGCGATGTAAATCGCTGGGAAAAAAATCATGAAATTATATACTCCTCAACTGATCAGAATCTGATGGAAGAAACAAAGGTGAAAGATTCAATTAGCAATTATATACAATCGAAAGTCAACACACAGGTGAATGCTGAAGAATCTCCACAAATTTCGGAAGAGCTAAATGAAGAAGAAGCTGAGTTATATGGGCAGAATAGTTCAAAACAAATCACAATTCTGGGTGACCCAACACCCATTCAATGTGATGCTTCGGAATGCAGCAAAGAAGTCGAAGGCAAGGCAACAGAATGGGTACAGAAAAATCTGTTGAGGCTAAGCAAAGAGTTTGGAGTAGCTTTCGAGGGGTGCACAGAGGAAGCTTTCAATTTACTTTTGAAAATTGACCAGAGGAGGCTCAAAGAGTTAACAAAAATAGACCCCATCTCGGGGACATGTGAGAATCAGATGGTGCCCAAAGAAGTAAGGAATCTTATCTTTGATGTAAATTACAAAGATAAAGAGTCCAGGAGTGCAACAAGGAGTAGAGGGAGAAATGCAACCTCACATTTATCATGAAGCTAAAAATATTTTCATGGAATGTGAGGGGGCTCAACATGGATACCAAGAGGAATCTGGTAAGAAGTAGAATACAACAAGAGGGGGTGGACATAATAGTGTTGGTGGAGACGAAACTTAGGGGGGAGGTAGGGGAGAATGTGCAGCAGTTGGGGGGAAACAGATGGATGGGAGGAATGTGGATGGAATCTTTAGGTAGTAAGGGGGGTATCTTGATAATGTGGGACAAAAGAAATTGGAAAGGGGAACCAGTAGAAAGAGGAAACCAAAGCATTACCTGCAGTTTCAGTGGTTTAAATCAAGACCTCATCTGGTTCATCACTGCAGTATATGCATCATGCGATGGGAGGGAGAGAAAGGAACTGTGGGAGGAGTTGGGTGCAATGAGAAGCTTCTGTGAAGGGCCATTGGTGGTATGTGGGGATTTCAACACCACAAGGTTTCCATCTGAAAAGACCAATTGTAGCAGAATTTCCGAGGCTATGTCTGATTTCTCCAGTTGCATCAATGAATTGGAACTTGTGGATCCCCCTTTATTTGGGGGACCCTACACATGGAGAGGAGGGGAAAATCAGAAAAATGCTTCAAGAATCGACAGATTCCTGTACTCTTTTCCTTGGGATGAAATGTTCACCCAAATTAGACAAAGTACTTTACCTAGTTTGGGGTCTGATCATAATCCAATAGTACTGATCTGTGGGGATGAGGTTTTCAAAAAATCATATTTCAAGTTTGAGAAGTGGTGGTTAAATGTGGAGGGCTTTCGAGACAAAGTTAAGGAGTGGTGGGGTTCCTTTAATGTGACCGGCAGTCCTGACTTTATACTAGCCTCAAAATTGAGCTTCTTAAAAAAGAAGCTCAAAGAATGGAGCAAAGAAAATAGAGGCAACTGGAGGGTCAGAAAAGAACACCTACTGGAACAAATTGGCAGGTGGGAAAACATTCAAGTGCACAGAACATTAACAGATGATGAGCAACTTTTGAAAGCTCATATAGCAATGGAGTATGAGGAAGTAGCTAGAAATGAGGAAATCCATTGGAGACAAAGATCCAGAATTCAGTGGATAAAGAATGGAGATAAGAACACCAAGTTCTTCCACAGAATGGCGACATCCCACAAAAGAAACAATACTATAGAATCCTTAGTGATTAATGGAGAAGAGTCTTCAGATCCTGTTGCAATCAGAAATGAAATTGTGGATTTTTATCAGATTTTGTACAAGGAGACAGAAAGTTGGAGACCATCTTTGAACATCTTAGATGTTCAAACAATCACAGAAGAAGAACAAATTTTGTTGTCTAGAGGCTTTGAGGAGGAAGAAGTTTTGGAAGGAATAAAACAGTGTGCTGTTGATAAAGCACCTGGACCAGATGGCTATACAATGGCTTTCTTCAGTGTTTTTTGGGAAACTATCAAAGACGATGTGATGCAAACCTTCCACAAATTTCATGCTCATCAAAAGTTTGAAAAGAGTTTTAATGCCACTTTTGTAGCTTTAATTCCAAAGAAGGTGGGGGCAAATGAGCTAAAGGATTTTAGACCTATCAGCTTGATCACATGGGTATACAAGATCATAGCTAAGGTGCTGGCAGAAAGGTTAAAAAAGGTGATCAGTAAGCTAATAAACAAGCATCAAATGGCCTTTATCAAAGGAAGGCAAATCATAGATGCTGCACTTCTAGCTAGTGAGTGCATTGATTCTAGAATTAGAGGTGGAATCCCTGGACTGATGTGCAAGCTAGACATTGAGAAGGCATATGACCATTTGAACTGGGAGTTTCTAATCAATGTCCTAAGGCAGATGGGGTTTGGGTGGAGATGGTTAAGCTGGATGAATTTCTGCATTAAAACCACGCGGTTCTCCATACTTGTAAATGGAGAACCAGTTGGGTTTTTTCCAGCAGAAAGAGGCCTGAGACAAGGGGACCCACTATCCCCTTTTCTATTTATCTTAGCCATGGAAGGTTTGGACAGATTGATGAGAGTTGCTTCTCAGAATAACTGGATAAGGGGCTTTTCCATAAAGAACAGGGTAAACGATACAATTGAACTAACACATCTTTTGTATGCAGATGACACATTGGTATTCTGTGAAGCTGAGCAGGAACAAATTTGCTACTTAAGAGTGATCCTGGTGGTCTTTGAGGCTTGCTCAGGATTGAAAGTAAACTGGAGAAAGAGTAGCATTTTTCCAATTAAGGAAGTGCAACAGATTGAGGATCTTGCAAGCATCTTGAAGTGCAAGATAGAGAAGCTCCCAACAGTTTACCTTGGGATGCCTTTGGGTTCTGAGCACAAAGCAGGAAAAATTTGGGATGGCATTATTGAGAAAACAGAGAAGAAATTGGCTATATGGAAATCTCAATACCTATCTCTGGGAGGTAGAGTTACATTAATTAACTCAGTTCTGGATTCTTTACCCACTTATGTGATGTCCCTTTTTCCTATTCCTAGTAGCATAGTGAAGGTTTTAGATGCACTCAGAAGGAACTTCTTATGGCAAGGGAACAAGATAGAAAAGGGGTTCAACCTGGTGAAATGGCCTGTAGTACAACAAAGCAAGGAAAATGGGGGGCTGGGAGTGAGAAATTTAAAAGTTCATAACATGAGCCTCCTCTCAAAATGGTTGTGGAGATATAATCAGGAGGAGCAGACTCTATGGAAAGAGATAATAAACCACAAATATGGGCAAGAGGATTTGTGGTGCACTAGTGAAGTTAATGAAACTTATGGAGTTGGGGTGTGGAGGACCATCAGAAACCTTTGGGAGAGTCTAAACAACAACTCAAAAATTGTGGTGGGTAGAGGAGACAAAACAAAGTTCTGGCTAGATGATTGGTGTGGAAATGGGATTTTGAGGGACTTGTTCCCTATTCTTTTCTCAATATGCACAAATACCAACAGCAAGATACAGGAGATGTGGTCACCACAAGGTTGGAATATAATATTTAGAAGACTGCTAAATGACTGGGAGATTGATGGAATGGTGGAGTGTTTGGGCTTGATTGGTGGATTCCCAGGTACTACTCTAGAGCCAGACAGATTAGCATGGGGACATCACAAAGATGGGGTATTTTCAGTGAATAGATTATACAACTGGGGACTTAAAAGATGTGCAGGAAGATCCATTGGACCTTGGAACACAATATGGAAAAGTGTGGCTCCTGCCAAGGTGAAGTGTTTCACTTGGTTGGTTGCTAGGAAAAAATGTTTGACTCATGAGGCAATGCAGAAGAGGGGCATCAACATAGTATCCAGATGCCTCCTTTGTAAAGAAGCTCTGGAGACTAACAAACACTTATTCATGCACTGTAAGGTAACTGCTCAGGTGTGGGCTCTGTTTACAAGCATAGCCAATGAATATTGGACTATGCCTGAACACACCTCTGACCTTCTTAGCTGCTGGATCAAAAGGGGAGGCAGCAAAAGTCAGAAAAGATGGTGGAGAACAGTTCCAGCATGTATATGGTGGATTATATGGAAAGAAAGGAATCAGAGAATTTTTGAAGGAAAGGAGTGTACAATACAGAAGATCAAATGGAAAGTAATTACTACTTTAGGTTTTTGGTGTAAAGAACAGGATATAGAAGAGGAGATCCAATTAGTGGACTTCATAGGATCTCTGTAAGTTTTTCTTTTTAGTCTTTTCCTTTTGTTGTAACAGTTTTTTTTTTTGGAGGTGGCCAGCATAGCCCTTAATGCTGAGGAATATAAAAAGTTACCAATTTCAAAACTAAGGATAGAAGCACAAAGACCAAAACTTCTTAAAAGTAGATAAGCTACCAAAAATATGTTCCCATACACAAAACACCCAATCATCTATACATATTGGTACATCATGGATGCACCAAAACACAAGACTGAAATTCCCATCTACCTTGTTAATTATGAGATCCATTGCAACCATATGTGGGCCAAGAAACTCACGATATAAAAACTTAACATATAAGCACAACTGCACAAGACTCTGACAATTTCCTTTACTTCTTTCCACACTTCATATTTATTTTTTGACAAGATAAATGATTTTACACACTACATTTATTCTGGAAGGATAAGCAGTAACTTCTAAGCCGCCAGATCACAGGTCTCTTTCTCCAACTTTTAGGCACTAAAACCACCCTTATTCTGTCAATAAAATGGTCAAAGCTTTACACTTCCTCCCCCCCCCCCCCCCGGGCACCCCAACACACACACACAGACAATTTCCTATTTGATATCTAAACCAATCGAATGAGCCACTTAAGTTTCCTTACCTAGTGAAGAACATTAGATGAGCAAGATTCCGCTGGCCCACCTTTCTTCATTCTCTTTTGAATATATCATCAATTTTGAGACTTCCCAAAATCAACCCTGGACCATATTGCACTAACCGAGCAACCAAACTTCTTTTATATTCTTATGATAAGATTATTTATTTACAGCAAATATTGCAAAGTAAGTCTTCAAACGAAACGGAATACATCAATTAGACAGACCAACCAACTAACCCTTTGTTTTTTGAACATTACCAACCAACCCTTATTTCAATAGCATTGCAAGCTTGGATTCTTCAAATCCCACCCCACCCACCCACACTACATGAAATAAAAAATAAAGAAATAATTAAAGAAAAGGTGACATCCTAGCAGGATTGCAAGCTTCCCTTATCACTCAATAAAAGGGGGAAGAGCAGAGTCATATGCAGAGAAGAAGTATATGGAACTCTCAACAGCAAAAAGATGATGCTGATGAGGATGATGATAATAATAATAATAATCACAATGATAAATAAATAATAATATCAAAAGCTCTTTGCAAATACTAGAATGTCTTTCCTGCCAGTTACAGGATAAAGGAGAACTAAAAGTCCTCATAATTCATATCCAAACCAACTATAATTACTGGTAGGCAATCCAGGAGCAAACATTTGTAACAAAGTACGAGACCACATATATTGAGCATTCAGGTTGAAATGAGACATCAATCATACAGAAGCTCCTCCAACAACCTTAGTAATAGTTTCAAAGATACAATACTTTGACATAGTTCTTCTTGAGAAGAGGTCACTGAGTTTATACAACCAGGTGATCCAAGTAATAGAAAAATTCCAAAGAGAATGTTACAAAAATCGAAGCAACATGGAAACCTACCACTAAACCTCCATGCTACATAGTTTAACTTGAAAACTCATCAACAAGTATTAATCTAGAAAACCGACATGTTCCGAATAAAAGGTTTCTGCCCAATTAACTAGACATAGGAACATAAGATTTATAAAATATACCTTACTAAGAAAAATAAGCATTTTAGATACACACAAGTCACAATAAACACACTTCCCAAAGCACCCAAGGGTGTGATCTAAATGATGTAGGTACAATTAAGACTATGCAGACCAGGGTTTGAATTTGGAAAAAAAAAACTAGGTGATTTCTTTCAATCAGCCTAAGCCTTGATGGGAGAATGCAAATACTTGGCAGAAAAATTGAGGTGCAAGTTGGTTATCAGAAAAAAACTTGAAGCGATGAAGCAGCGGGTCAAGCTACGTATTTTAGGAAAATGTGCTTCAAACAATTGCATCCTCACAAAAAGCTTTTGAAACAGCTAGATTAGTATAGGCATTATCGAATCTAAAAAAGAAAAACTTTTGATCTCAACTTAGAAAGAGATGGATTAGTATCGCATTATCGTCCACAGGATACTGAAATTACTAATATTAATTGCAATTTGTAAATTTTAATTTCCAAAATATAGAGTTTTACTTCAAATAAGCTCAAGCTTTGCTCTAGGCTTCACCTCACCAAATTGTTTAACAACAGTTCACAATTCTTCACAAAATTACTGATTTTTCTTCATCCAGCAGATAGTTCAACAATAACCTAACCCAATGTAATCCCACAAGTGGGCTTCGGGAATGGTAGTGAGTATACAGCCTTACCACTAACTAACTATCAAAAGTAAAGCCCAAAAAAAAAGAAAAACTATTACCTTCATCACGCTCATCCCGGGATGAGCCACCAGGTTCATAACCCATCTTTAGGTCAGCAACTCTGCAACAAAAACACTTGATTATTCTTACACTAGCAAAGAACCAACCAAAAACACCCAATACAACCCCAAAGATTCTAATTCAGAAAAGAACCTCCTTTACTTCCCCCCCCCCCCCCTCATCCAAAAACACAAACCAAACTATAGTTTCAAATCGTTATACTTCAATTCATTGCAAGAAACGAAAAGGGTACAATTAATTTCACCAAAAACGAAAAGGGGTTGTTTAATTAGACACAAATAGATGATTAAACATACAAGAAGAAGAGAAAACATACACTTTAATTCGTAGAAAGCTGAAAAGTTCCTCTTTTTCTTTCTTTCTTTTTCGAATATTAGCAAAAAGAAAGTTGTCAAGATAACAGCAACATCGAGAGAGTATTGTTAGCAAGAATTTGAGAAGAGATTTTGGGTGTAATTCAATTTATTTATACAGATTCACTGCGTTCCCTTCTCTTCCCATCTCTGCTCGCTCTAAAGAAAATTTTTGGTTTGGGCGAAGAACAGAGTTTTGCCAAAACGGGTTGTTGGGTTAACCCGTTTCATGGACGGGTCAATATAAGAAAATTAACTTCTTGTTTTTTAAATTTTTTTATGTTTTTTACTTTTTCTTTATGTAAAAGGCACATTATTAGATATTAATAAAGTATCAATTGATTAGGTATTTGTGGTAAAGAAAAATACTTCTTAATTTAATAATTAAATTGTACATGAGAATTTTAAAATTCGAAGAAATAATCTTTTAAATCTTTCTTATTTGAAATTAGAGCCGTTAATTTGGGTAAAGATTTTTTTTTTGCTAACTAAACACATTTATTACCAAAGTAGTAATGTACAACTCAAAAAAGAAATATAACATCAGGCCTTACTCTAACTCTGCGGACTGACCTAGTAAATCACTATGCATAATCTCCCTATCTCCTAACCACAATTTGCTGAACTGGATAATAATTCAGTTGATTCAAACACCTAGCTATCTTTCCATGCATACTTGCTCAAACATAAATCTCTTGAATAATCTTTCTCACAATGATATCCTTGCAACGATGTATATTTTGAAAAACTCTATGATTTCTTTCCATCCACAATTCATAGATAGAGGCAGCAAGTGTCATTCTGAAAATAGTAGCAGCATTGCCCTTACCTTTGCACATTGTTTCATATCACTGTATTTCTCCAACCTAGTTTATCGCATGTCGATAGATTCCTTGTCAATGCAATACTTTTCTCCGCACATAGGAAGCTAAAAAACACTCAAAAAATAAGTGCTCTATATTTTTCCTATTCGATATCACAGAGAGAACATAGAGGGCAAACCTGCATTTCCCATTTTAGCCTCCCATCTTTAGTATATAGTCTACCATGAATAGTCACGTATAAGATGAGTAACCACTTTGGTAAGCCTAGATTGTTGCACATTGGTCTCCTTCGAGGCACACTAGGATGGACACCTATCAATTTATGGTACATCACTTTGATTGAGAACGTGTGTATCTGTAGCAACTCAATTTTAGTCATACCTACCTCTGTAATGTATTTTTGCGCCTTCAATATCTTTTGAACTATCCAACATGCTTGCTTTGGCCTTGTACCCCACAGTGATCCACTTTTGCCATAGTATATATGAACCCGGACTAAGATTTTTGGAGCCTATTTTTAGAAGAAAAAAAAACATTTTAGCCTGGTCCGGATAAGCCCGTTGGTCTGTGGGACTTGAGCAATATGCATTGGACCGGTCCGTGGGATAAATAAAATAAAATAAAGTATTAAAAATAACAAAAGTTCAAACTCAAAGTCTATTTTAAGTTTGAAATATTAAACTTTAGAATCACCAAACGTGATGTACTTAATATTCCTATTACTACCATATCAAATCATCATTCAACATGATGTACGTGTTCTCGCCAAGTATGGAAGTTGCATCCATCATGAAAATATTCAAACACTTGTAGCTAGTCAAAATTGGTGGCATGATTTTTCTCAAATTAATATATTTTTTTGTATATATTTAAATACTATACGTAGTTTTTAAATTTAGTTATTTTAATGTTTAACTAATTGATATTGTATAAATCGTAGATGAGTATGATAATGTCTTGTCAATATTTATGTTAATATTTTTAAATTATAATTGAATTTAAAAAATTATAAAAAAATATACTTTTAAAAAAAGTGGGTTGACCTGGTATGGCCCGCAACCCACGTACTGGTAGGTTGGTTTGCCTGTTTTCTGACCCACAAAAAATAGGTCTGCCCCACCCAGTCCGTTAAATCCAAAGCATGTATGGGCTAAGTTCGAATTGGATAGCCAACCCACATTAACAACTCTATTTGAAATCTAATTTTATAGTAATCTGATTTAGACTTTTTTGTTTTTTTTCTCAAATATGGATGTGTAAACTCTTTTATATAAGTAACTAAAAGTATATTAATCACATGTATTAACAAGTAAAATTATAATCAAGTTTAGACATTTGTTATTTTCTTAAGTAAACAAACATGAAACTACAAAAATACTATGAGACTGTGACTAAATAAAAGCACAAATTGTAAGCACTTTTTAATTTACATGAAGTTGTTTGGTCTAAATACAAGTTATACAACGACTAATAATATATAAATTGTAATTGATGAATTGTAAGAACAAAAATTATAATGCATATATTATTTCTTTTTATATTTTTGATTTGTAATAGAAATTAGCATATTCAATAAAAATAAGGCAAATGACATATGTTTGTAATTTGTCATTGACAAGTGCCTGTAAATCGCATTTTGTAAATGCGATTTATATGTCTTTTTTTTAATGAATGTGATTTATAGATCACATTTAGAAATCGTGATGTATCGTCATGATTATTAAGTCGCATTTAATAAGAATAATTTTATTAATCATATTTGGCATAGGCAATATATAATTCTTTCAAAAACTCCGATTTCAATATATTTTGTAACTTGTAAGTAACATTTGATAAAGAGTGATTTTTATAAATAATTTTCATAATTGTGATTTGCAAGTGACGTTTAACTATTATGAATTGACACGTTTGTTAGTCGTATTTGATAATATGTTTTATAAGTCACTTTTTATAAATATGTTTTGTAAGTCATGGGTCCATGATTTGTTAATCGCAATACTTGAGTTTTGCAACTTCAAATACTCAAAAACTACACTATTTTTGAAAGATACGACACAGCCCAATCAGCAGTTCCGAAGAGAGTGCCATCACAAGTTTTAGGAGGGTCTTCGCTTGTATTATGTATTTATCTATTCTCGTTATGTCTATATTGTGTTAGCTCCATGGGTAGGACTGAATATAAGGTATTTGAATATCCAAAAATTGGTAGTTATTAAATCCGATATCCAATCCAAAATCCATAAATTTTAAAAATAAAATTCCAAGTCTAATCTATAATCCAAAAATCTAAACCAAACATCCAAAAAGTTTGGATTTTGTGTTGACCGTTATGCCCACCCCTAGTGAACTCCTGAGCATAGATTCACTGGTTTAGAGCTCCTCAAGTCTTGAATACACCTTGTTTAACAAGTTGCTGCAACTCTGAGGTGATGTGCAAGGCCCACACATGAGATAAATGACATTGCCAAGAGGCCTCATATAGATTCCGTCTTCGCGGAGCTTCTGAAGGAGAGATCTAGCATATAGAGAAGCATACCTGCATGTTTTGAGACAAAATTCAGCTTCACAAGTACTACAAAAAGATGCAGTACAAGCAAGATAAAACCCGAACTGTCCACTTCATAGTTTTGGTGACAAATCTATATAGAAACTGATGCCGGCACTACAACAAACCGTTTCAGAAACACTTATTAGTATCAGATAATGAGTAAGATAACAACAGTCCTGCATATGGTAACTGACTAATTTTGCAATATATCTAAGAAAGGAACTGACTTTTATGGCGTTCTTGCTAATCAAATACCTGCACTACAAATCAGATGTATAAACATTGATTCTTTTATGATAAACTTCAAATACTAGTTCTTTTCTTTTTTGAGGAGGTAAAGTAATTTTATTGATACAGTAGCACAAAGGATGTGTTATAGGAACTGTACAATGTTGTCGAAGCAAAACAACAAAAGTAGCAAAAGTATTCCCTATCTAGTCCAGTATGGATTCTAACATCTGCAACACTAATTCAGCCTCATTTAGATTTTCCAGCTAAGCAAAACAAAAGTATACAATTAGACTTTAACTTGTTGACAGAGTCATACACTAGTTTTTTCATCTTCGACCAGAAATTGGCCTAACAGTGTTCGCCTTTGGGAAGGCAAATAAGTCCCTCATGTAAGTTATGCAAGCTATTACCAATGAATTATGCATGTCAAAAAAGCAGTCTCTAGATAGTCAGATATGTCTTAAATAAGCTTCTAAATGATTCTTAATTGGAGCTCTATGTCACAGCTTATATATGGTGCACCACTTTAATATGGTATTTAAGGTAAGCATAAGAATTTCCATGTTTAAACAATCACTGCATTGACAATCAAAACGAATAAGAAAACTTCTAATTTACAAGAAAGTAGAATAGACTGCATACCCAGCATTAGAGCCTTCTGCTTGAAGTTCCAATGCACATAGAGTCCCCAACACAACCACTCTATGCACTGCTGGAAGTAAGGAAATTTGTCTCACCATGTCTAAATCCCACAGCTGCAAACATCCAAGAAATGAAGTGGGAAACACAAAATAACATGTTAAAAACAACATGTTGGGAATTCATCTTTTATAACAGGCCCCTTTTCAATTTCTTTTACAAGGTGACCTAGCGTTGCTGCAGTGTTTTCCTAATTTTTTGTTCAAATTAATCGGTGGATAAAGGTAGAAATTTGGGTCAATGTAATGACTCTGGATACTTTCTTCAGTATAATTTGAATTAATGGCACAAAGAACCTATGTTACGACAAAGAGATTCATTTATGGGTATGTGTGTAGCACGGGTGTGTGGGAGTATGCATAGTTACAACAGGTCTTTTGCTACATTTCAGTGGCTTTTACAAAGAATCAGCACGGAGTACCCACACCTAATCAAGGCAAATGAGGGATCCATCTAATGTGGCAAAACCCAAACAGCAATTTTAAAGTCGATCAAAATCACACTTGGTGCTCTAGAGTGTGCCCCAATTTTTTTTATTGATGACAAGGGAAACCCGCAGCCGCTACCCTTTGGGTGCGCACGGGGTAAAACCCCCACTCCTATGCAATAGCTCGCAAACCACATAGGAGAGGTAATCCACACTAGGCAAGCCCGGTGCGACGAGCTCGACCCAGAAGTCAAACCCCTTGCTTTCGCTGGCAAGGGGTTTCGAACTTGAGACCTCCAACATGGAAGTCCTAAGCCCAAACCACTAGGCCACCCCGAAGGGTACGCCCCAATTTTATTTTATTTTGAATATTTTGGTATACTACACTAATATGCTAACCCAGCTTCGATAGGTTGCAAATTTATGGGCTCCAATTGTTTGTGCAAAGAAATTTTAATTAGGGAAATTGCATAAATAGCCGTGCACCCCAAAAAATAGCAGGAAGATGTATTATATATACATTTACGTATATAGGTTAGCAGATGTAAATACTTTTGTCCGAGCGGCCAAATGTGTAATTTCCCCTTTTAATTATCCTAGAATATTGTGCTGAATAGTCTGAAACAAGGACATTTACATGTTTCCACCAAAACAGTCTAGGAGACAAAAATCAGAGAACTGTACTTTATCAAGGGAGAAAACAGAAAACTGTTATTAGGGAACTTTCATAAAAATGAGGAGCGACTCTGTTTTCGGGAACAGAAAGGGAATGCAACTTTTAGTAATCGTTGTTTTTATAAATGCAAATTCCTAGTGATTAAACTACAATAACATTTATCAGCCAACTGCTTTTTCACATACCTCCCTGAGCAGCATGGCTTCAGATATCAGATTATGATTTGTTTTGGAGTCCTTAAACCATTTGATTGACTTTACAGCAGCTGTACAACCCACTGCATGAGCAGTGTAAGAGTGACCGTGCAAGAGTGCCTGGAGCTGAAGCAAAGGAATGAGGTTACACCACCAATCATATGATGTTATATTTGAGTACTTGAATTGGCCAACCACGAATGAGAAGCAAAAAGGGCATTTTAGCAGATCCAACAAAGTTTTGGCTGAAACAAGTTTTTCGCTCACAGAAGCAAATACTTGACAAGCAGATGGTAAACACTGATGAATATACCTTTGAATCTCCAACAAATGCTTCAAAAACAGCTTCTGATGCTAAAGTGACAGCCAAGGGCACAATGCCACCAGTCATCAACTTGGCAAAACAGGCTATATCTGGCTTACAGCGGATAAACTCCGTAGCAGACTGAAAAAGCAAAAGCCACAAACTGAAATTCCTAAAACCAGAGAATTGATACATCGAGTGATCTGGCTAAGAACCCAGAAAACTCATACGTCAAATAATCTAGTAAACAAACCTCTGCTCCCAGACGCCAGAATCCTGTAAAAACCTCATCGAAAATAACAGGAATTTTTTGATTTCGGCATTCTTTAACAAGTACTCTCTGAAATAGTGGATCAACCATTTCCATTCCTCCAGCACCTTGTATCACTGCAAATAATTGCAAGTAAACCGCATTGCTACAGAAACTTCAAGAATCATTACAAATGGCATAAAATATTCTTAATTAATTGTCACCATAGACATTAAAGAAAATCATTAAGGGGTCGTTTGGTAGAGTGTATTAGAAGAAATAATGCATGCATTAGCTTTGTGTATTAGTACTACCTTGTTTGGCAAGCATTAGTTATACACTCGTATATTGAGGTGTGCATTACTAATGCATGCCAATTTCCCCTCAAACCCTTTTTTACATCTTTTCCGTCATATTTGTGGAGGGTATCTTTGTAAATAAATAATTATAAAATAAATTATGCAATACATGCTATTTTTAATACACCAAACCAAATAATGCATAAGAAATGATCTTTGCACAACTAATACAAACATTACTAATACACTCTATTTAGCATTATTCTTATACACCCTACAAACGACCACTAAGAATATTTTACACAATATTACTTGTTTGTTTAGTAAGTTATAATAATAATTCCATAAATTAGAATTTTTTTTAATCTCATATAACCAAAAACTCCTATATGGAAAGCCATTGCGCATGTTTTTCACCAAAAATTTCAAAAAGAAAAGTAAACCATATATGATAAAGGTTATGAAAGAGAAAGATAAAAAAAAGTAAATGCATCTAGAATTATGTAAAGCATGAGTCGTGAGCAAGAAGGAAAAGATGGAGGGGAAGAAAAGACCAAAAAGAAACTTGTGCATATGTCAAAGTCTTGCCTGGTTCTATAATCAATGCTCCAGTCCGAGTAGATCCGCTTGAGTCAATAATTAGCTGTAGTGTTTTCCATATATACGAGTGATATATATCAGCAAGATTTGAAGTGTCACGGCTTTCCTTGAAAATATTCTCGCGCAAACTGAAAGCTGAAAAGAAAACCAATGCTTAGATTATTGAAAAACTGAAATAAGAATATCACCAGAATTTACGCTTCACTTACTCAAATCTTCAAGACTGGGTTTAAGAGTTTCAATCTCCTGAGGAAGGCTAAGTTTCCAAACACCATCACGCATGGCAACTGTCGGTGGATCTAAAAAATGACCTCTTCCCTTATACCTGCAAATTTACAATATGTTCAATACTTCAGATTTTACCTAAGACAACTGTAAAGATATCATGGTCACCCTAACTGCAAAGACATACACAATCTGACATGGAATGTATGAGTTAAAAGAATAAAAGAATGAAGTTCCTAGATCAAAACAGAACCCAAGAAGATTCACAGTCTGACAACATTAGGCATAGCATATTTCTTTAACCATTATGAACACCGGAAGACATGTACAAGTTTTCTTTTTAATTTCATATACTACTAATTAAACAGCAGTATCAAATTGCTCACACAAATCAGGATGATCATCATGAGCTTCACATAACTACTCAAATAGCTATAAGTTTTGGCACTTCTTTTTGGGCACTTGATCATGTGGAATATCTTCTTTAAATAGCAGCCCAAGTAATCAGGCATGGCTCTCCTACCAAAGGATCCATTCTGCCATGCATTTTAAGTAAAGCTGGTTCAGGCTGATGAATTATTTTCATATCAAGCAGATCAAGGAAAAGGTCAACTACTCCAATAAAGTTTTTGTTTGTCACCTCTCTATTTTGGAATTCCAAAAGAACAGAGTGGAAGTGTTTGCACTGATTACATCTCACCCCATACTTCACCATATGGATTATGGACAGTCAAATGTATTTCTTTTTTTTTTTTTTTTGAGAATGGTAAAGTTGACAGTCAAATGTATTTCAATCTTCTCAAATAAATAATTTGAGTTTTAATCAAATTGCCAAAGCTGTTCCAAGTAACTTCTAAAACTTGAGCAGAAATACAGCTCTCATTACTCAGGTCTATCTACTGACTTTGTATAATGTGCATGCTGCAAGGCAATTTGACCCATGTTCATCTTTCTCTCAGTGTGACACCACAATGGCATCATAATCTATTTTGCGCAGAAGCATCAGTTCTGTTTCAATGCTTCTATATATTTATTACCAGTAAAATTTGTTGATTTGGAAATGCATGATTTGTATAAATGAAAAAAGAACCCATAATAAAAATGTTTTCATCTTCTAGAGCCTTGGTAATCATGCAGAAATATTTAGTTACGCACAGAATAATTGAATTATCCTGTTTAGTTATGAGTAACTGATATCTAATGGCAATGATAATTCAACCTCCCAAAAGAAATAACAAAATTCTTTTGCAGCAATGAAAAGCTGCCGCCGAAAAAACGAAAATCTTTCACGAAGATAAGGCAATACCATGGTTGCTGGTAAAAACCAGTATAAGGTGATGGCGCCTGTGCTTCCATAGCACCCAAAGTGTCACCGTGGTAAGATCCTCTGAGTGCTAAAACCTGGTTCATGACACAGAAAGCTCCATACATAAACTAGCATTTTGCAATGCATATGATAGAGATACTACATGCTTTGATGTCAAGTTTGTGAAAGGGAAGAAACTTGAGTACTAGGTCTTCTAGCATTTTCCAGCAGCATCTGACCTTACAAGTTACAACTAAATGTCAAGTGCCAGCCGAAAGCAAGACGGCTTAATATGGTGAAGAAAATAAAACGAGTGATTTGAAAAGCTACTTAGCTTTTGCTCAAACTTGACATTAACTGAAATGTCAGATCTTTACAAGCACCCAATTGGACTGGTGCATTGATCATTCCTTGTTCTCCAAGTACACTAAGTAAATGAAGTGGCCCTTTTCAACAGTGAAAACTGATACTTTGGGACACATTTGGCCAATCAACATTATCAACTCAACAGATAAAACAAAGTGCAACTACTTGGTTAAGTATTACCCACCTTTAAATCAACACGACTTTCAGCATTCTTAGCCACCAAATCATCAGAGACAATCTTGTGATCAAACAAGAACTTCCGTAGTGCCATTTTAAGAGCAATTTCAATTGCAGTAGAGCCATTATCTGAAAAGTATACTCTCGATGCCCACCCTACAAAAACAAGGTTGTTAGAGAACTAATCTTCGTGCAGTCTGGAAATGTTTAACATTATTTGGGTATACAAGACATGAAAAACACTATGGCACACAAGAATTGTTACAATAGCATTTCATAAGATCAGATACAGTCTTAACTAAAAAATTTGGTGACAAATATCTAAGAAATACGAATTAGGACATTTGAAAAGAAACAAATGAAAAGGAATTCCAATATTTTCCTATCGGCACATCATGTAAAAATAGTTTTCATGGTTATGGAACAAGCATAAAGGAATGTACGATTCCAAAACATCTCAACCAATTTTCAGAATTTTCAAGCCACGGAAAAAATATAAGCATAAAAGCTAAAATCGAGGCATTACTTGCCTATATAGGTAGTATTTAACTGCTTATGTTTAGATGGTTAGGATTCTTGCCAAACAATTTTTTTTTGAAGGTAAACTTCTTGCCGAACATGTAGGAATAAAACAGATTACCAGTTGATAAAGATGTGAACACAGAACCACATGAAAAAATTGCTGCATGAACAATTAGCAACATGGTCCCTCAAAGAGCTGTAATCAAGAAAAACTACAAGAAACTCAAATAAATATAAAGATTGAATTCATGTAATACATGCTCTCTCATGGAGAAATACAAAGAGTTTCAATGATAAGAACACTGATTAGCCTCATAACTCCAGCTCGCTAATTTCACTAAGAAATAACAAGGCAAGCGAGGACAGGGTTTAACAGACAAACCTTTTCCCACGCCTTCAAGCAAAAGTTCAGCACATTCCAAAGCCGGCTCGTAAACATTTTCAGGAAACATAACATGCCCATATCTAGCAGTAGCATAACCCATATCTCGTGCAAGCTCAATCTGAAACCATCTAAAGACAAACAGAGGAAATCGAGTTATAGTCTTATATAATGCTAACAATTTAAATAACAGGGTAAAGTCTTAAAGAGAACAAAGCAAAGCATATGCGAACAAATCTAGTATTTTTGCTCCAGGAGATGTCCCTCTAACTGTAAGATAATTTACCAAATAAAGCTTCATTTTTTTAATTTTTATTTTATTTTTGTGGTTTGGTTGTCGTTTTGTCAAGGAAGAACCACCTTCATTCAGCAGCATATAAGGAAAAAGTGTTACCTTTCTCAGGAATTTCGGTTTCTCTGTTTCAGAGCATAGGAAAAAAGTATTAGCAAGGTTACATAATCTAAATTATGTCCAGGCTCGTGATTTCTGCACTCTTAAGCTATCAGGAAAATCATCCTCATTAATTAGCTCATTTAAGGCTCATTGGAGATGATTGCATCTATGATTGATAAGTTTGTGATAAAGGGGATAACTGTTTCAACAAATTGCCAATCATGTTCAATCATATGCATCTCCATTCCCCTTGTTCACTATTCGAACACAAGCATGCACATGCAAAAGAAAAGTTCTCGGTTATAGTGACTTGCTATAAAACAATCATTGAGGTTGGCTAAATTGCTATTAGCAAGGGCATATCTACAGACTGACCTGTAAAGTAGCATCAGGTCCCTGTGTCCACCAACTTGCACATGCATCAAATTGTTGAGTGATTAAATCAACATTATTATTAACCTGCAGAAAAAGCAGAAAACAAACCAGCGTGTGAGTAGAAGGTTAACACACAGCATAAGAAAGGAATAAACAGTTTCTCTCCTGATAGAAACAGCCGATAGATGGAAGCAGTTGTAACATCAAAAAAGAAGGTGAAAAAGGCTATAGAGGAAAACAAGAAGAATACCAGCAACAATAATATCACTAATATGTAGATAATTTGCAGCAGTCGAAGAGTTTTAGGACAATTATTTCTAGTACCGACTGCTGAGCATATATTTCCAAAAGTACTGTCAGAAATGAACTAGATCAATGACAAAAACAATAGCATATTCATAACTTGAGGTAACATTCACAACCTTGTGCACCGCGAAGTTTTCTCCACACCGTGAATCTATAACTGTCACATTTTCTTCTGGTACAAGTTTGTGTTGAGTAAAGGGCCACCAGAAAATATCATGTGCCTTCCTTGGCATGTTGCGTAATCTAGATGTTCTCTCCAGAAAATTTGACTGCATTATTTCTTCAAGAGAATGAAAAGTAGACAGCGCTTCTTGGAACCACTCCATCAGGTTATTTGACATCTCCTTTGGTATAGGTGGAAGAACAAGCACAGGAACCCTGTCAGCCAAGAAATGAACTTTCAGCTCTTTTTGTTTCATAATGAAAATACATGGAAACAAGATTGGGTGGCACACCCATCGATATTATTAGGGCCTAAACTGAAGCAGTAAAGATACTCACGGATAATGCCTAATTACTGGTGTTATGCAATATTTTCCACTTCAAAATAAAAATTCAAGTCAATAGAAAAACAGCTAAAGGTTCACCTTCTCCGTAAGTAAGATGATAATGGGCCCTCATTAACTAGGCCATGGTCTTCAAATATTACAGCAACAACATCATAACCTCGAAGTGTTAAACTTTCATAGGCTGAAATAGTTCCTGAAATACCCCCTAGCCTTCCATCACCAACAAGAATAGCTGGGAAGCGAAAAGGTCTGTAAAAGAAGAAAGCAAATCAAAAATTGGCTGTTGAGCCATAACAACTAAAATTGTGAATCTGCCAAAACACGAAACGAAAAGAAGCTGTTACATTTGAAATGTAAATGCAGCAGTCTCTAAAGTACTTACGTACAAGAGTAACAGCTATTAATATTGTTTTCTTTGAAAGGCATCTAATTTTGGGCAATTCAATTAAACATGATTTGATAACCAATAAAGAAAGATCTTGCTTGCAGTATTATAAGGTTGAGTGTCCACCTCTGCCATTCTTATTCATCTTAGTTTTGAACAATGAACAATGTAAGTAGCATGTATCCTAAAGCTGAGCGTACATTTCTACTGTTTGTATTCAGCTTACCATTGATCTCCTTCTTGATAGGTGAAGTAGTTTAGAAAACTTTGACTTTAAGAAAAATTCTCAACAAGTTCAGGTTGAAAAATCTTTCTTACTTTGCATCTTTAGTGGGCTTGTAATGATGGATTGTTACTTTAGGGGTTCAAAATAAGAGAAGATAGCTAGAAATCATGATGGTATGCTAGAAGTACTGACAGTCACATCGCCTTGTCTACAATTTTTCCTGTCAAGCAATTCCATTTGCCAACTCAATTCATCAAGTAGTAGTCACTAACATAGCGCACTTGAGGCAAAAGTTGCCTATTTATAAGAGGCATCTCACTAAATTAGTCACCAAGAAAATTTCTTCTAGGAATAGTACTAATTACTAATGGTCACATCACTGTTAGGAATGTAAGCTGAGATTTTGACATAGATAACTAACTAGATTCTTTTTGATAACCAATTGACTAGATTCTTCGTTTGTGTTTTTGCTTACTTATGTACAAGCAACTATAATATCGTCAAGTAGGCTTGACATTACAGCACTCTTAACATTAAGCTCATTATACTTTATTCAAAAAAAACATTAAGCTCATTATACTTCCATGGTTCTACCAAGTCAACGCTAGACAAAATGTATGTTTTCTTTTTCAAGATGAGAACAAAAGCTGTAATCTTTACATTGGAGTACCAGTGAGACTAAAATTCCGGATATATCGTTCCTAGTATATTTTCATCTACAAACCAATTGTGTATCTAAGTACCTAAAATCTGCAGTTAATACTCTCGACATATAGAAAGCTAAAAAATTCCAAGTAACTCGAAAAACCCACGCACCTATACAAGTCGCATTGAAGTGAACCAGATGGTCCTGGACTGGCAACACCACCAGCAGTCTCAATAACACACAAAATTTCACCTTTTTCACTTTCTGATTCACTCCCTAAGCAACCCTTCAACATCCCCAACAACTCAGCATCCTCCACTCTAGCATTTTCCCTCTCCGCCACTAAATGTGGCGATAACGCCTCTTTCCACCCGTACATTGTCTTACAAACCAACTTCGAAAAACCCTTCATCTCAGACCCTTGCAACTTACTTTCCTCATACAACCCCAAATTCACAACCCCATTCCCACAGCTCATATCTTTATCCCTTTCTATTTCAAACCCGCCTACCGAAACAGCTTCTGAAGCTGAAACTGATGCTTTGAGCACATGATTCGAGGCAAAAACAGAGAATTCAGGTCGATTTTGGGAGAAAAATTCAGAATACTTATTATAAACGAAGCGGGAATCTGAGTCCTCGGGGAACCCAGTTTGGACAGGCTTCAAGTAGAGGAATTTACGGTGTGGGGAAGAAAGGAAAGAAGTGGAAAGGCCAGCAGAGACTAAGGTTTTCCCTAAGGAAGTGTTGGCAGCCCATATGGTATAGATTGGGTGGCTGAGTGGGTATTCAATGGAGGGCAATGTTGGTCGTGAATGCGTTGAAATAAAGCGGCGTACAGAGTTCCGGGGGAGGATTCCGGCGAAAAGAGTGGTGGGTAGTGACATGGCGGAGGAGGAACCCTAGAGATTCTGTAGACTGTAGAGTGTGAGTGGAAGTGAAGGCAAGGGCTAGCAGTTAAATAGTTATTGTGATTTTATTACTGCGCAAACTATATTGCTGGTGCTCGGACTCATAAAAAATGTTGACCTTGCATACATGTGAGACAACATTTTTGAGAAATCAATCAATACATAGAAATAAAGTTTAGGTGGTAAAATTATCGTCTTTACTCGATAGCTCGAATTTTAACTAATATTTTGGTAAACATATCATGTTTCTATCATGAAGATCTCCAAGCATGCATAGCTCACTTGCGATATCCATCAAATTATTAAGTAATTTCATTTCATGAATACTATGCTATAAAGTGAATATTACGTGTTATTTTAATTATTAGATTGTTTAAGTTGTTTGTTTTGAAAATATAATCAACCACGAGAACAATTTTAATATTGCAATAGCTCAAAAAGACCGAGAGCTCCACCTTCTGAGCACCCTATAGACAGTCTGGTTGGAGAGGAGTGGCAAGTACTTCAAAAAAAAATAACAAAGCACCATCAACCCTTGATTGAGATTTAGATGCTTATATTTTTGGTGCAAGGCCTAAGTGACTGTCCATTTTCCTTAGGCTGTCCATTTTCCTTGCACACAAATTTGTTGCACTGGTGTTGGACCCAAATCCATAGCTTTTGGAATATTCAACATATATTTGTCCATATTTTTGAAGAGTCGAGCAACATAGTTTCTAAAAAAAAAGGAAAAGATGAGAATAATGCTTTGAGTCTAACAAAGTTGATTTTCTATTCAATTTTACATAGTGCTAGCATCACCTTTGGCTTAAAATATATTTTGTGCTGTCACCTCTGGTTCTTTGTTTCTAGGCTGCTGCCATATGATGTAGATGATGAGGTAAGGTTCAGTTTTTAAAAAATCATATCTTATAATCTGACAAAGTTCAGTTTTTTTTTAAAAATCCTATTCCTTAGACTGCCTTAATATATGTATTGTTGACTTTCTTTTGCTTATTAACCAAGAAACATTATCTAGAGATAAGTTTAACAAATTCTATATAACAAGATCTACACAAGTAACACCAGTGAACTTGCCCAAAAAAAGTCTTAAAGAACCATGGCAGATGATCAACACAAAGATAGTTACAACAAAAGCAGTTTAGAATCTGTTGTTGTATTTGTAGTGCCATTTCCAGCACAAGGCCATCTTAACCAGCTGTTACAATTTTCATGTCTGATATCTTCATTTGGAGTTCCAGTTCATTTTGTTGGCTACACAACTCATATTCAGCAAGCTAAATCAAGAAACCTTCAAGATATGCAGCAAATTCATTTTCATGAATTCCCAACTCCACATTTTGATTCACCTCCTCCAATAATTCCAAATTCCATCATGAAATTTCCAACACATCTCCAACCATCTTTTGAAGCATCTAAACAGTAACACGAACCATTTACGAATCTCCTTCATGAATTCTCCAATAAAGTGAAGAGAATTGTGGTTATACATGATCCTCTTATGTCTTCTGTGGTTCAAGATTTTTCTAGTATTCCAAATGCTGAGTCCTATGCCTTTCATTGTATCTCAGCTTTCACTCAATTCTTTAGCTTTTGGGATGCTATTGGAAGACCTTTTCCAGTAGAGGGAATGCCAAAAGCTATACCATCAATGGAAGGGTGTTTTTCTTTTGAAATCATGAACTTTATGGCCTATCAGTATGAGTTTATGCACTACAGGACAGGTGATATATTCAACTCATGCAGATTGATCGAAGGAACTTATGTCAATTTGCTAAGCAAGTTGGAGATGAATGCAAACAAGAAGCAATGGTCCATTGGACCTATACTACAAAAGGGTTCAAGCACCAGGCACAAAAGTTTGGAGTGGCTAGACAAACAAGGTCCAAATTCTGTTCTTTATATCTCTTTTGGATCATCGACTACAATGACCGATAAACAGATTCAAGAACTGGCTATGGGGCTAGAAAACAGCAAGCAGAAGTTCTTGTGGGTACTGAGAGACGCAGATAAAGGTAATGTTTTTTATGACGAAACGAGAAAAGCAAGATTACCAGAAGGGTATCAAGAAAGAACTGAAGGAACAGGTATTGTAGTAACAGATTGGGCACCACAGTTAGAAATTTTGGGACGCACTTCTATCGGTGGATTTATGAGTCATTGTGGATGGAATTCATGTATGGAAAGTATGACAATGGGAGTTCCTATATTAGCTTGGCCAATGCACTCTGAACAACCATGGAATGCTACACTAATAACTGAAATTTTAGAAGTTGGCATTCAAGTGACAGAACAAGCACACCAAATGGAAGTTGTTAACTCATCAACTATTGAGAAAGTTGTGAACAGACTGATGGTGTCTAAAGAAGGGGAGGAGTTAAGAAGCAGGGCTGAAAAGTTGGGTAGACAAGTTTGGCAATCAAGAGATGAAGGAGGTGTTTCTCAACTAGAGCTTAGTTCTTTCATGGCTCATCTTAGCAGATAGATGATCTATGCTGCTCGTATTCTTTGAAAATGTTGGCAGGTTCATGTCAGATTTCCTAAAAGTAATGCATTTTTAAAGAATGTGATACGGTGCTGCAACATTTTTTGGGGAGTCTGAATAAAACAGGCGTTGATGCACTAAATTTGCTTATTGTTGTATGTCTTTTCATTAGTATGGCAAAGATTGAGTGAATAAAACAAATTATATTATGCGTATTAGGATCAAAAGCTTATCAAAAGTTATAACTTGATAGTAAGGTATAACTTTATTTTCTTAATCAAGTCCATCAAACGAACATAATTTGATTGCACAAAGGTTCAATGCGATCATTGTGCAAGTTTATCAAGGATTCAAACAGACAGAAGAACGCTATCGAAGTAAACAGATAAATCTGGCTTATGTCAACCAAGAAGATAATCAAGGATTCAAGCAACAGACTCATGTTGATGCATCTCAAAACTTGAGAGATTAGTGAATCTTATTTTTTCAAAATGAATTTACAGCAAGTATTCCATCTACTTCAGACAGATAATCAACTCAATGATCTCGAGCAAAAAACTGGAGGTTTACACTCTGCATCGAAAAGCCTAAATCAATGGTACTTTAGCCTTACAGCCTCATTTATTCCCAAGTTGTTCAGCCACTTCCCCTAAAAAAGATGCTTATATCAAGCAATAAGATCGGGCCATGGCACGTAAAATCCCATTTATCATACATCCAAGTACATCCCATTTTGTTGAGGAAAACGTGAAGAATTCAAAGGATCGACCAAAAAAAGGAAGTATCAATCTACAGTAACATAGACTCGGGATTCTCTATGTAGCCTTTGAATGCTTTGAGCCATTCTGCACCAATTGCGCCTAGACAAAAGGAAATTATTAAAGGTTAACCGTGAATGTTTTTTAAAAAGAGGATATGAAGAGTCCACTGTCTAAAGTCACTCACCATCAATCACCCGGTGATCACAGCTCAATGTTACAGACATCATACTGGCAAACTTATACTGGCCTTCACTGGACCCTGGAAGCACCCTTTTCTCAGCTGTTCAAGAAGAAGCAATGATGAACACAAGATATCCTCGCTGAAACAAAACAATTTAATGAGATGCAAACTTACCAGATCCAACGGCTAGGATGGCTGATTGTGGAGGGTTAATGATGGCACAGAACTGTTTAATGCCAAAAGGCCCTCCCAAATTGCTGACGGTGAATGTCCCACCCTGTGAAATAAGAAAAATATGAATTGAATTTCTGTCCAATGAAAAAGAAGATATTTAACTGCAATGCCCACCTCATAATCCTGTGGTTTTAAGCTGTTCTCTTTTGCTTTCTGAGCTAAGTTCTTCACTTCCTCGGAAATAGTGGATAAACCTTTCTTATCAGCATCCTGCCAACAGCACAGATTTTCCAACATGAAATATAACTGGTAGTAAGAATCAAGAAACATCCAATTATAAGCACTAGACTGGGATGAGAACAAACCCGGACGACAGGAACATAAAGACCATTGTCAGTCTGCACTGCTACATTGATATTCACATTGTGATACCTGTGTTTGCAAGAAAGAATGCACTATTAATTTACATTGCAAACTAGAGAAGTCTTCTCACTTCATGTATTTCACTTACTGACGAATGTAGTCATTGGTCCATGAACTGTTGCACTGAGGAACTTTTCGAAGAGCCAAAGCAGCAGCCTGCAATGAAGTTAATTACCCAGGTCATCTCTCTCTGAGACAGGTCACTATAAATAACAGATGACAATATCTCTTATACATCCTGTATAATGTACTACTTCCATTCAAAAAAAGAAAAATATAAAATGACGTCGAAACAGTGGTCAAAAGACCCAAGTATCAGTTCACATTCAGACATTTGATTTCTTCAACACAAGTGTGAAATTTACATATTTAGAAACTAATATTAAAAGTACAACTGAAAGTTGAAACTCTTTGTCAATCAATTGAAACACTTTTTACAGTTAAAATATATTTATTATCCAGAAAAATTTGTTCGACTTCGAAATAGTTCTAAATGTCATATATATTGTGGGACAGAGGAGCAACTGTTTTTTGACAAAGTGCAGCAATTAAGAAAGCAAGTTAGGAATTACTCAGACTTCTTATGCGAGAAATAGACGAGATTCCAGCTCCAATTTTGGCACAAAGGTCCATGCATAGTCACTCTCTCTCTGTCTTTGTTTTTTGACAAGACCTTTTCTCTCTTTTCTGGACCCTCCATGAAAATACAAAAAGAACGCTGGAATTGTCTCATTGAGACGAGATAACAAGACCATGGCTTTTTCTTTTCCTTTTTCCTTGTCAGGTGGTACAGTGGATCTTAATGGAGTATTTCTTACCTTTATTACAAGATCATTAACAGATAACTTCTTTCCTCCTGAAGCCTCTTGCAATGAATTGAGCTTGCTCCTCAGTCTGTGGACCAAGCAACTAGCAAGATAAATAACAGAAAAAAATAAAATTTGGCTGTTGGACAATAAAAGTAATACTCACTCTATAAGTTTGTCGACGCATGTATCAACAGTCAAATAGTAATGGGGAATGGTTTGCTTTGATAACAGCAACCTAGAAGCTGTCGCCTGCACAGATTACACCAAAACTGGTATAAATAGGACAAAACCTTGTGCTTGTAAAAGAAGTAGGTAAACAAAAAGTATACCAAACACTTCATACAAGGGATGAATTGGAGATAACACGGACAAGCATCTAAAATTGACTAATTCTGGGAACATGAGGATTCATCCCCTAGAGGTGTAAATAGTACCTTTCTGATCTGTGCAACAGGAATATCCGTGTAATCTAGAGATGTGTCAGCCTTGGGAGCTGCTGCAGGGGCTTCCTTTCCGCGTGAAGCTACATGATCAAGGGGAAAAAAAGATTATTGATTCTTCTACAACCATATCACAACTTTTTAGGGAAATCTTTCCTTCCATAAGAGAAAGAAGGAAATATGTTCAGTGACATAAAACCAACAGTAACATCAACTAGCATATAAGTATAGATGCAGACTAGGAAGAAGGTTACCAAGATAATCATCAATATCAGCTTTCACGATACGTCCCTCAGGACCTGTTCCTTTGATGTTTGTGAGAGATATCTGTTCATGTTCATACAAATGCAGATTTACCCTCAAGGCTAAAACATGTAACCTGAATCATATTATCAAAACAAATTTAACCGAAGAAAATAAGTACATTGTGATCTTCCGCAATTTTCCTAGCTAGCGGACTAGCAAAAATGCGATCCGCCGCACTAGGTTTAGAAACTTTTGGCTGTGATGGAGTAACAGGTTTCTCGGCAACCTCTTCTTTGGGAGGAGGTGGAGAAGCAGGAGCTTTTGGTGAAGGCGTGGCATCTGATGTTGAAGGCTGGTAATCTTTAAATTTTGCAATGTCATCTTCCTCTTCAACAGTAACAGCGATCACCTACAGAATTTTCAACAGTCATCAATTTTTTTATAATTAATTCTCACAATGATGTAGCTTTTGTTGGCATGTAGCTCAAGGCACAATGAAATTCACAAAGGAAAGAAATTTCTGCTAGGTCAATTATATGAGGTTAGGAGCATATTGTGATTGAACTGATGCAAATAGAGGAATTGTCAGTTTCATTATTCAGCTATCAGCTAAAGTATCAAAGGTTCAGCAAAGCGCCAGCCTATAAACGAAGTACCAACTAGAATATAAGTCAAATGTGGGAACTAGAAGAACCAAGCATTAGAAAGTGATGTGTGATGCATCAACTATAAAGAAGCCGATCTATACAAGTACGTATAGATGTTACATCGACACAGTGGAGGTCCTGAATAAACAAGTGATACCACATGGCGTGAAGTCCAAATTATCTAACACCAAGATACAACACTCCACAATTGATACTCTCAATTGAAATATTTAATCATCAATACCTCTCCAACTTTGATACTGCTTGCTCCGTCTCCGTGAAGAATCTTAGCTAGATATCCTTCTTCCATGCACTCCATCTCCACTGTTGCTTTATCCTACGGGTATGAATGAGTAGTGTGAATACCAGAATCCAGAAGCTAAGACACATAAGGGAGAACTCTCCCTTAGCACATCATGATAACAGCAGCTAAAAATAATCTTACTGTTTCCACTTCACAGAGCACTTCACCAGGAGAAACTTTATCGCCCTCTTTCTTTAACCATCTGGCAATATTTCCCTGCATCATAAGTATCGAACAGCTAAGGCGCTAAAACAAACATAAGTGTAAAGAAATAATGATTCTCGAAGAGATTTAGTGAGAGAAGTTATATACCTCTGTCATTGTAGGTGAAAGAGAAGGCATCCCAATCGCTTGGTGTGGAGGAAGATCTGAAACAGAGAAGATGCCAGGTTAATTTGACTCCAAAATCGAGGGTTCTCCCTCTTTGGTTCCATGTTTCCAAATTAAACCAACTAAGGATAAGAAGGATCCCTTTAGCAATTTCTTGTATAAGGTGAGGTACTATTATTCAAGATAGTATCAAGGAGGTACTGAAAAATTACAGCAAGAAAAAGAGTAACAATGACTCCAATACAATTTTTTCACCAAGGAGTTCAAACGTCTTAAAGATGTGCTAACTTTTCTAAAATGTTCTCCTTACACCATATACATACAAATAATGAAAGCATCTATATTTTACAAAAGATAAGTTCTGTTTTTTCTCTTCGAAATATCTCTTACTCCTTTCTAGCCATATAGTCCATATGATGCATAATGGGCTGTTCTCCAGATCTGTTTCTGCATGCAATCAACAATATGTCCATGCCAGCGCTGTATTAGACTCTTCACATCCTTGGATAACATTCAATACACTCCAAATACTCCCAGGAAAAGTGCCCAAATCTGTCATGTCTGGTCACAATGTAGAAGTAAAAGATTACTGGTCTCCGCTGATCTTTCAGCGAAGAAACATCTGCTGCATATTGTCATTCCTCTTCTCTGAAGAGTATCCATGCATAAATTCTTAGCTGCAAGTGCTGCTATCCATCCAAAACAAGCAATCCTGGG